AAAAGTGATGAGACTTTTTGAGAAGAATAAAGCCACAAAAATAATTTTACCCTTAAATTTATCCTTATACAAAGATTAAATAAAAATGCACTGTATTTTACATCTGCCCTGAAAGCTAGAGCATCCCCTACCTACCCACATCTTAGTAAAAAAAGTGATGAGACTTTTTGAGAAGAATAAAGCCACAAAAATAATTTTACCCTTAAATTTATCCTTATACAAAGATTAAATAAAAATGCACTGTATTTTACATCTGCCCTGAAAGCTAGAGCATCCCCTACCTCTACCCACATCTTAGTGACCCACTCATTTTTCTGTCACAATCAATCCCTCATTCCTGTTTTCTGCTGCCCATGACTTGCCCTTTTCTGGTTCTGTTTCTTTCGTTCATCCATAAAACTCTTAGGAAATACACTGCTCCTAGAAAAGGAAAAGGATAGTAAAAAAAAAGTTGCAAAACTTCCATATGGAACACACATTTCCAATGGGAAAGACAAATTGCGAACCAAATTAGTGAAATACATTGTATGTGATATGGGTGATACAAAAATTAATGAAAAACAGAGTTGGGAGTTTAGAAATAGACACGCAATTTTGAACAGTGAGGATGTCAAAGCAAGACTTCACCAAGGTGACTCAACTATGAGCTAAGACCTGAAGCGGGTGAAGGAACAAACCATGCGACATCAGGTAAGATTGTTCCAGGCAGAAGAATGAATGAATGCTCAGACTCTGGGGTGGTTACCAAACAGGGAGGAGATAAATGAGGATGGAGTTAAAAGAGACAATAGAAGAGACAAGACCTGGATCCTGGTTGTCAGGGCCCTGTGGACCCCAATAAGAACATCAAACTTCAGGTGAGGGATTTAGCTCAGTGGTTCCACTGCCTGCCTTGCAAGCAAAAGGTCCTGAGTTCAATCCCTGTTACCACTGCCCCCCCAAAAGAAAACAAGAACATCAAACTTTACTCCAAGTAGTGAAGGAAAATATTGAAGAGTTTTGCTCAAAGCTTGATTTACTGTTATCTGAGTCTATCTCTAGCTCCCAAAATACTTGTGCATTTCTTGTAACCAGAACCATGGAGAGATGGTGTTTATCAACCTCCCCTCAGCCCAACAATGTGTTCTGGAGAAGGTTCTCCATGGTACTGTAGGTGTTGTTGAATCAAAAATTGATACACTCCAGTCATACCTGTGTTTCCATAGGTTGGCCGGCTGTGGCCTCACAGCTGAGAGCTGAGAGCACCGTGCCTTGGGGCTGAGCACCAGCCAGACCCTGACCAAGCTGGAGTTGGACTACAATGTGCTAACAGACGCTGGGGCCCAGCACCTTTGCCAGGGTCTGCAACATCCATGCTGCAAACTTCAGTGACTGAAGTAATTGCTCCTCTTTGGTTGACAGTGCCTTGCAGGGATCATAGGGAGGTAGAGGGAGCCGTTGATCATATGGCAGATGAAAGAAAGGGGCCAAAAAAAGAGGCCTCACTTTGTGGGTTGGAAGGAGCACACAGAGGGTCAGTGCATTGTGGAGACTCAGGTGGAAACTTACCCACACCTGAATAAGGGATGTGGCCACCAGGCTCCATATGCAACAAGAGAAGCCAATTCTGAGTATGCAAGCACTTTTCAAGGCCCTGTCTAAGTCACCTTGGCTATTGTCCTGTAGTCAAACCAGAATCTATGATGGTCATGCTCATACTCTAGAAAGAGATCAGTAGACTTTGTTTCTTGATGGGAGATCACTAGCAATGGGCATCACTGTAAGGTGGGAATGGAGGTAGAAGTTTTGGGACCATTTTCACAGTATTCCACAGAGATGGAGTGTAACGGTGCTGACATGGTAAGATTGTTCTAGGAATTAAATGGGTGAAGTACTCAGAACAGTGTAGTATTTGCTGTTTCTCAGGTCTTGCCCAGCCATCCATTTCCTAATACCAGGCCCTCTTGCTTGGCAGGGACACAACCATAGAGAGCTGCACTCACTGGTGTTCACTTAATCCAGTCTTCTGCTACTATCTTCATGTGGGTGACAGTCATACCCCTTAGCATAGAGAAATAAGAGTGGATTGTTCACCTCTCCCTATCCTCTCTCGATGTCTGCCTCTAAGGCTCAAAGTTATACACACTCGTGCACTCATTCAGAGAGCTACCATCAGGTTCTCCTTTGGGCTTCTACTCAAGCATAAGGAATGCTGCCCACACCTCTGCTCCTACTTGCCCTTCCCTCCCTTCTTTTTAAGTGCAATTCTTCGCCTTTGCAGAGCCATTGTTTGTTTCCGCACTTGATGATTCTGAGCAAAGTGGTCATTGAGACAGGAATATGGGATGGGAGCCAGTTGGAATATCCTCCTAATATTAAGGGTCAGAAGTTCTTCAAATGACAAGGACTCTATCAAACCTATAGTATTTAACCTTTACTATATCTACAGATGACGAAATTGAGTCGAAAGATTAACAATTTTCTTAAGACTGCATAGGAAGCAAAGAGCACCACCAGGAGTCTGACATTAAAGCTTGACGTTAAAACCATTTGCCCCATGCCCTCTTTTATCCAAGATCTGTTAAGTACTAAATGACAAGCTAGCAGCTTGATCTCCCAGTGATGTCCTGAGTATTTTGCTGGAACAAAAGCAGATGCAGCTATGGAAAAAAAGGGGTGGTATAAAGTGGGCTGGGACCTGAAAGCAGAAATCCAAGACAGCATTTTGGAGAGAATCTAAGTATATATAGCCATAGCAAATACACTGTATGTTTTTGCATAAATAATGTGGTACAAGCACTATCATGGTCTCAGCTTGATGATTCTAATACCTCTTAGAGATTGTCTATGTCAGTATGGACAAAGTCTCTTCATTCTATTTATTTATTGGTTGACTGATTGATTGATTGATATAGAACCTTCCAGTGCAGTTCAGGGTGGGCTTGATCTCACTATGAAGTCCAGGCTGGCCTAGAGCTTGCATCTATCCTTCTGCCTCAGCCTCCCAAGTACTGAGATTAAGGTGGACACCACCACATTCGGCACTTCACTCTTTTCAATGGTAGCATAGAATTTCGCTACATGGATTCTCTATTAGTTTGATAATCACTCCCAATTATGGATATCTGGATTATCTCCAGGCTATGCCAATATAAACAGAGCTGCAATTAATATTTCCCTCACGCATTCTGGAACAGAATGTGTTATCTGAAACCTAAATTCTGAGAATCATTGAGTAACGGCTATGTGTATTCCTAATTTTGCCTTCTAAAGAGGTTGTGCTAAACAAGGGGTACAGTGTTTAACAGGATTGAAAAGACCACAATAAGCCTCCTCCCCAAGCAAAGCCAGTGTTAGCCCTTCCCCTGTGAATCTCTCAGCACCCACACTGTGGCACAGGAGAGGCTGAGAGATAAAAAGGATTTCATCTGGAAAACAGAGTAAACTGACCTGCCCTCTATCCTTGTTTTTCCTACAAGATGAACTGTTCCATTCCTGGTATATGATTATTGGCCCATCAACAGGGGGAATTCAGGCTCTCCAAGCTCAGCAGTGGATCAATAGACACCTACCCCAATACTTTTGTGGTCATAGCTGTAAGACACATGGAGTTATCCACTGAGATAAGGCAGGCTGGAGAGTTTACCACTGCACACTATGCAGGGTAACAGACATGGCCCTGTTTGGGAGCACACACTCTAGACTCCAGTTCCAATTAAATCTATTATATTCTCTATCACCTTTGGTTCTAAAGATAGAAGTTCATTAATTTTTCTGGGAGATACTCTTAATATAGAAACCTACCTGGACATTTTATGTCCACTGACTCTGGGTACATGATAAGAATGATTTTGATTAACAATTAAACGCAGGTATACAAATAGGACATGAGTAACTTACTTGTCCAAGGTTGATATGATGCATGGGCAAGATCTATGTGAATCCCCCAGAAAAAAGAAAGGGAGGTGCCTATATCCTGGAGATCTCTGGGTCACAAGAGGAAAACTAAGACATCCCAGGCCACTGCAAGCAAAGAAAGGCTGCCTTCCTCTAAGGTCACTATAGGATGACAAAGGACTACAGTTACTAGAAAGGATGACCAGACCCCAGATACCCTGGACAGTGAACCCCAGAGACAATGACTATGGGCCCATGTGCATCTCTCCCACAGGCTGGTTGGCTGCGGCCTCACATCCAGCTGCTGTCAGGACCTGGCCTTTGTGCTGAGCACCAGCCCTAGCCTCAAAGAGTTGGACCTACAGCAGAATGACCTGGGAAGCTATGGTGTACAGTTGCTCTATCAGGGACTCAAGAACCCCACCTGCCAACTCAAACAACTATGGTAAGGTAAGGTCTTGTGGGGGAGGGTCCCTGGAATGGGACAAGTCAGAAAAATAGACCAAGGTATAATCAGCCTGGGCTTCTTCCCAGCTATGCTACTTATACTAGGTGACTCCAGCAAGTCACAGACTTCTGTAAGATTCACTTTCCAGTCAAAGTAATAGGACTATCATACCCACTTATAGATCATCATGAAATATAATGAATAGAAAATATTGTGCGTGCACCTCAGTGGTACAGCACTGCCTACCATGTTTATGGTTCTGCAGTCCATCTTAATACCCAAAAAGAGGGATATGATCAAGTGGTATTTATTTATAAAGTGCATATTCAAAAGAATTTCCATGTTCGCTTCACTCTAGAGCAACGCTTCATTTACTCGCTTTCATTCATTTGTAGCAAGTCTCTAACATGCTAAGAACTGGCCCAGGCCCTGTCAATATGACAGCAAGCAGACATACATTGATCACCTGTCGGCACAGAAATGTACATTTGCACAAGAAAATCACTAATGAACCACCTCACTCTATCTCCATCTCTAGGTCAATTTTTCAGGGAACCTAATATTGACAGGTTCCTTCAGCACTTCCCAGATTCCTTCAGCAGTTGGCAGATGTGCTGTGCCCTGTGCACTTTGGGATCACAAGGAGATTCCAGAAGAATCTGATTTCTCTTGTTCTTGCAGGCTGGACCACTCCCTTCTGAGTGCAGAGGAGCTGAGGGCCCTGGAGCAAGAGAAACCACAGCTGCTCATCTCCAGTGCACAGTAAGAGCTGGACCTGGACTCACTCTGGACAACACAAGCCTAGGGCTTAGTCTCTGGGTGTGGTCCAGAACTGAGAGATGGGGAAGGAGTCTTGGGGTGTGGGAGAGACAGGGCCATCAAAAGCCAAGAAAACAAAGAAGCCAGAGTGAGGTAGGTGTTTTGGTTATTTAGTGAAAATAGGAAGCCATAACCTTCCTGTTTAAACCCTTCGTTAGAAAGTGAGTGCATGCTCTAGGATCATCATAATGTGATAACCAGTGGTCACTAGTACAGTTCCTTCAATGAACAGAGAGTTAGAAATAGTGAAAACAGTGACAAAAGTCCCAGAGAGGCCTTTGGGAGAAAGACCACCATCAAATCACCATCTCCACTGTTACCACCGATACCCGCATGCACCTGCACACACACTCTGGGATCGGGGAGGTTTTGAGACAGGAAAGTCCTCTCTTTAACTCCCAGGGAATGGACTAAGGCCCGTATGTGCTCTGTGCTTGATATATTTTGGCTCATGACCTTGAAATTTAGCTCTTCAAGATCCTGGCTGCTCTGCTTCACCTTATGAAAATTTAGCTCTTAGCTCTTCAAGATCCTGGCTGCTCTGCTTCACCTTATGAAAAGGGATAGTTTTCCTAGGTTTAAACAAACAAACAAAAAAAAAAATCATCCATTCACTGAGCAAGCCTTTCCTGAAAACCAATATGCAATAACCACTATTCAGGGATCTGAGATACAATGGTGAACAAATCAGATGAGGCCCACTTTCCAGGAGCTCAGTCCACCGAGGAGACAGGGAAAAATTTTCCCACAGCCTTGTGTGATTGTACCTGGGGGTCACTGTACACACACATGGGCCTTTTTGACCTTGCGCCAGGGAGCTGAGCTCTGATCTGAAAAGTGGAAATGATTAATCTGCTTCAGAAAGAGTTGATTCCAGCAGAGAGATACTGAGGGAGAAGAGATCCTAGCTCCTTGGAGGAACAGGAGGAGGGCAGGTATGTGAAGCAGCACTACTCCAAGTGGGATCCACAGGCCAGAAGCAGCAGCACCACCATCATCCAGGAGCAAATTATCAGGCCCCATCCAGACCTGAAAAATCAGAATCTCTCCGATGAAGCCAAGATCCTTCAGGGGAATCTTTTTAAACAATATGTCTTAGTGATTTTTGAGCAGATCAAGTTTGACAGCCACTGGTTTAGAGATCAGTGAGCAGGGGAAAGGTGGCATTGGTGGCTTTGAGGGTGACAGGGGCCATAGGAAGGCCGTTTGGACCCTGTTAACAACTTTCTGTTTCCTTCAGAAGCAATGGAGAGATATTGTAGGGATCAGCAGTGAAGTGATATTTTAGATTCATGTTTTAAAATTACCTACTAAGCAGCAGAGAGAGCAGAGTAGAAGCATAAAACCTTTAATAGGATGCTACAGTGATTCGGGCCACAGATGCTAGAGCATGGGACTAAGATGGGAGCCATGCAAGTGAGGAGTGTAGACCAAAAAGTAGAACTATTCGGGAGGTAGTGTCACAATTATCAACTGTCATGGTATGCAAGTATTTTAGTTAATTTTATGCAACTATAACAGAATATCTGAAATAGGATGACTAATCAGAAAAAAGTTATTTCTTACTGTTATAGAGGCTGGGAAGTTCGAGGTATATGGGCTTAAATCAAGAATGGCTTTTTCATAGCTCATTCCATGGCTGAAGAGGAAGAGCCAGAATACACATGAGAGAACAAGAGGGAGCCCAACTTGCTTTTTTGAGAAATCTATTCTTGCCACAATAAATCCATTCCTGTGACAGTAATCCATTCATGAGAGCAAAGCCCCCAGAACCTCAATACCTGTCAGATTTCCCAGAGTCCTACACAGTTGCACTCAGGAGTAACTTTCCAATGCATGCATTTTGGGAGATACATTTAAGCCACAGCAGCAAGGAAGGAGTCAGGATGATGCCCAGTATACATGAGAGGATGGAGGTTCACTCACACAGACGGAAAGAAGCAAATGTTTGAGTGCATTGAATTTTAATTGCGGGTGTGATGTAGAAAATCCTGGCCTCCCTGAGATCTGAGGAAAAAAATGTATCTCCACGTGTAGAAATCCAGATACGAGGATCCCTACTGAAGACCTAGGGGGAGGAGAAGCGAGTCATAGCACGTCCTCACTCAAGCAGCAGCAGAGACCACAGTCAGGTATTTAACTGGGCTGTGCTGGGACCATCGTGATGGGGTGGGCACTGTGGGAGGTCACATCCTCCATTCCCCTGTGTATGAAGTGGGACAGGGAAGATTAAAATCCTCTACTTCTGCAACATGGAGGTGTCACCAGGCTGGATCTGAGGATGTTCCGGAAGCTAACACGAGGAACCTACCCCACCCTACTCAGACAATAAACTTGCAGGTTCCCTCACTCCCATCCCCCTCAATTAAAGAACTTTCAGGACTAGTAAGAGGCACAGGAAGGGTTTTATTGGGCAGAAATTAAAAGGTACACATTCCAAGAAATACCATGTGGACCCTTGATAGAGGGGCACCTCATTTCCTGTAATTGGGAACATTTATGCTTCTCTTGGGGGAATGGAAACCCCAGGAAAATGTGGCCTGCTCTCAAGAAGCATAATGGCCCATACTGCAGGTCTCAGCCCAGTTTCTTTTAGGTGGATAATTTAAACATTCTTTGAACGTTATCGTCCTGTTCCTTTATCTTAGGATGGGATTCCTGCTCTTTACTTCCTCGTTTAAGCCAAATTATGGACTTTCAGTATTCCTGACTAATTTTGAGTGTGATGAGTCTGGCAGTAATGAAGCCTAAATTTAACCAAAGGAATGATATGAATTACCTTGGGTATTCTCTACTGTGTCATGGAAGTTTCAGTTTTCTGAAAAGTTTAATTTTTTAATTATGATTTTCTTGTCTCCTTTCTACTTCAGAAGAATTGCTGGTCCCCTCTCCCTGGATCAGGAGCTGATGCTCCCCCTTTCCATACCATAGAGTTCGGCATGTACCAAACTCTACACCACAACATTGTTCTCCCATTCTGAGCTGCTGAGGCCTGAGAATCACCTCCCCATCCCTGGCTGCTCATCTTTTTTTTTTTTTTTCTGCTTGCTTGCTTATTTTGTTGACTTGTTTTTTCTTTTTATTGAGTTTATTGGTACAATCTAGGTATACAATACAGTTACATTCATTATCGGGATCTTGTACCTTTGCATAATAGGTCTTCTTATTTTTTCCCCTTGTCCCTGACCTCCCTTCACCCCCTCCTCCCCTCCCCATTTACAAACACTTTATTTCCATTTTTTCAATTTCTCATATTTTTTTCCTCTCCCTTATTACTTTTTCCCCACCCTTCCCACTTTCCCTACGCCTTCAGCCCTTTACTGCCTATTTCACATTATTAATTATCTCATTAGGATCCTGTGTACTATTATAGTTTTTCACATCAGAGAAACTATTCGGTATTTCTGTTAAAGAAATCTCTGTATGAACATTAAAAATAGGGAATCCTAAAATAAAACTAAAAAGGAAAGTAAAAGAGAAAAGGCAATGATGTAAGATTAAAATAATCATTAATTCTGAAGATGAAAATGGTCCCTGAACATCTTTAAATTGCTTCTTGCTCTTGTAGTCTTATCTTATTCTTTTTTTCATTATTTAGAGAATACTTTATTAGTTTCTGTAATAAAACTCACGTAGATATGACCTTACATATTTAATATAGTGCATTACCCCTGTACAAATGGAAAAATTAACATTTCTAGACCAATATGGCTGTCCATTTCTGTACAATGCCAACTCAACACAGTAAATTGGGATAACTTTTTCCAAAGTTGAAGCACTATTAAAGTTTCCAAAATTTCACATTATATATTTTTTTATATTTATATTTATATAAAAAGACCAATAATATGGGGCTGGGGATTTAGGTCAGTGGTTTGGTGGCCTGCCTTGCAAGTGCAAGGACCCAAGTTCAATCCCTGGTACCAAAACCAAAACAAAACAAAAACAAAAAAGACCAATAATAGCAGTATGTTATGCATCAATAGCAGCAACAGCTTTTTCTGGTTCTGCAGTCTTCTGAACAAAATTATAGACATTCAGCACATTCCATTAAAAAAAAAACACAAAAACAAAAACAAAGAAAAGAATAATATCCAGACAACAGCAAAGTTCTGTTGCTGTTGTGGTACCTGGAACCATTGTTTTTTTATTAGTATCTTGATCATCATCTGAAAAGAGAACATTCTAGAGTAATATCATTAAATATAGCTCTGATAAAGCACAGTCACTACTATGTATCATAAAGCAGATACAAGATATTTTACACTCACAGAGGTATGATACAGTACCGTCCTACATCAATAATACTAGAATCAGTTTTGGTTTGAAATTTGCTTTGTCTGCAAATAAGATTGCTACCCCTGCTTTTTTCTGGGCTCCTGTTACTTGGAGAATTGTTTTCCATCCTTTCACTTTCAGTCCATGGGCCTCCTTTTGCACTAGGTGTGTTTCTTGTATACAGCATATTTCTGGATTTTGCTTCTTATTCCATTTTGCCAGTCTATCTCTCTTGATTGGTGAGTTGAGGCCATTGACATTGATGGTTATAACGGATACATACTGACTTATTGTTGACATGTTATTAGCCTTTTGTTGACTTTTTTACTTTTTCACCTTCTCCTTTTAATTTCTTGCCTTGCCTATTTGATTTGCTCTGTTGGGTCTCATGGTGTTGTTGCCTTCATTGTCTTTTTCTAGGATCTTGTTTAGAATTCCTTGTAGTGCTGGTTTGGTATTCATGTAGTTTCTCAGGTGTTCTTTGTCATGGAAGTGTCTTATTTCCCCACGCATTTTGAAAGAGAGCTTTGCAGGATACATCTGTCTAGGTTGGAGGTTGTTCTCTTTTAGTACTTGAAATATCTCATTCCAGGCTCTCCTTGCCCCAAGGGTTTGTGTTGAAAAGTCTGCTGTGATTCTGATGGGCTTTCCTTTGTATGTGATTTGTTTCTTTTCTCTTACTGCTTGTAGTATTTTGTTCTTCTGTTGGGTTTCTGGGATCTTGATTATTACATGTCTAGGTGTAGATTTTTTTTTTATTGTAGCTAGTTGGGATCCTATATGCCTCAGTTATCTGAATGTCAAATTTTTCCCCTCTGGGAAGTTTTCTGTCATTAATTCTGCGAACAGCTTTTTTAAGTCATTTGTATTTTCTCCTGCTACTTCATGGATTCCTATCAGTCTTATGTTATTCTTCTTTGCATCATCTAGTAGTTGTTGGATCAATTTCTCATGATCCCGTACTGTTTTTAAGAGACCTCTCTTTTCATGGTCACTGACTGCAATCTTATCTTCTATATCTGAGAGTCTATCTTCACATTCTTTTATTCTGTTGTGGACACTTTTAATGGAGTGTTTAATCTCCTGGATATCTGTTTGAATCTGTTTTATGGATTCCATTTCTTTCCTATGTTGGGCATTTATTTTTTCCATTTCTTTCTTATGCTGGGCCTTCATGGCTTCTATCATGGTCCTGAGCTCATCTATTTTTTTTTGTCGGTTTCTGCTCTAGAGTCTCGAATCACAACTTCCATTTTGCTCACTATCTCTATGGTTATCTGAGAAATTATTTCTGTTTTGAATTTTTCTAGAGCCTGATTGACCTGCTTTGTTACTTCCTGTGCTTTGAGTTCAGGGTGTTCTGATGGTTCACTATCGGCCTTTTCATCCTCATTTGCCCTACTGTTTGCCATTGGTGAACTGGAAGTCTGTCTTTGTGTCTTGCTTAAGTGTTTTCTCATTTTTATTTTTGTTGTCAGGCTGTCCTTGGTTTAATCTCTGGGTTATCACCCAAATCTTCCTGATATAGTTGCGCCCTAGCTTCTGTGTCTCTAACGACCCACAGACATTCTCATCTTCATAACATCAGAGAAAACAGCTCATCAAATCAACCGCAATGCTTTACCCCAACTGATACAATCAGCAACACATTGAGATCAAACACAACTTGGAAACTGTGGTAGTCACTAGTCTATCACCCTTAAACCATTTTAATTAAATTGAAGTCAAGAAGCAGTCCAGAACATGTCTGCAGTGAACAAACTTTTCAATATAGTATATTTACCATTTAATGGCTCAGACAGAGCTAGGACACAAGACCCCTGATCTCAGATAGCTGATGGCTGAACCCCATGATGCAGACTGACCTCGGGCTGCAAGGCCCAGATTGAGTTCCCCAACCTTCTGAATGGTTGAACTCCACACCATTCTACTACAGGTTTCCCATGCCCTTTCTTTAAAAGTGTTCAAAGTTGGGAACTCAGACAAATACTCTTTATGACCACCTCTGCCTCTGCAGAGTGGGTCCAAAGACTGGCAGAATCAGGAGGTCTGGGGTGGGTAAGGGGAGTTATGGGGTTTCAGGGGTACCTTCCTGGTGCTGGATTATGGCAGCTCAGGTGAGAGAAGGTGTGGCTCTCCTTCCCACAGTGGATTGGGGCCCAGGCTACCCTCTGGGTGCTGGAGCAGTGGCGGCTCCAGGTGGGAGAGCTATTTTGTTGACTTTTTGTTTTGGTGGGTTTTTTTTGTTTGTTTTTGTTTTTTTGAGACAGAGTATCACTATGTAGTTCAGGCTGGCCTTGAACTCATTATGTAGCCACAGCTGGGTTCAAATTCCCAGAAATCCTTCTACATCAGCCTCCTGAATACTGGGATTACAGACAAGCTCTACCATTCCTGGCTGCCCATCTTTCTTTTGAGCCAGGTTTTGGTCTCCACTCACCAACCTGGCACATGCTGGGAAGACTGACACTTCTGGACCGTTGGGGTAATGGAGATGAGCAAAGGATGTCTGCAGACAGCAGGCAGCCTCAGGAGCAGGGACAGAGGCTGCAGGCACACTCTCTGCCATGGCCAGGCTGGCCAGCCTCAGGACAAGCCCCACACGGACCCCCTGTGGGAGACCAGGCAGAACTCAGGACTGACCACTTCCCTGTTCCAGAGAGAGGCTCCCACAGGTAGCTCAGGAGGAGCCCTTCCATCTGTCTTTTCCTGACTCTAGGTGAGCTGCACATGGAGACTCTGGCCACTGAAGATGACTTCTGTGGCCCCACAGGGCCTCTGCCCATGGAGGTGGTTGACAGAGAGAGGAGCCTGTGGCGGTGAGTGAGAGGTTCTGCCTGCCCAAGCCTTGGTTCACCCTCTCCACTCCCCACACTGGGTCCCCACAGACAGCGCCCCACCACCTCTCCACATGATCCTCTCCTCTGGCCAGACCAGCAGGAAGGGACAACACTGAGATACAGGCTGAGTGCTTTTAATACAAAAGATGATGTTTTTGAATGACAAATATCAAATATACACCAAAATAGAGACTCTCCATAACCCAGATTCAACCACAATGTTGCTCAGTGCATTTCATATGTTCTCTCTCCTCTTTTCCTGTTTTTACAGTATTTTCAACTCAATATTTCAGGTGATTTTATCTTTCAATATTTCATTATGCACCTTAAAAAATAAAAATGTGGGCCGGGGATTTAGCTCAGCAGTTTGGTGGCCTGCCTTGTAAGCGCAAGGACCCGAGTTCAATCCTTGGTACCAAAAAAAAAAAAAAAAAAAAAAAATAAAAAAAAAAAAAAAAAAAAAGAAATACACATTTCTAAAAAACATATACAAAAAAATAAAAAAGAAAAATGCTTCTTCTATAGATGCCATTACCTTATCACATCTAACAAGGCTAATACTTGCTTCATATACTCTAAACCCACTGTCTATTCAGATTTACTCAATTCTCTATAGTGTGTTCTTCTTAATAGTTCATCCTAATCATGATACAAACAAGGTCTACTTGTTATATTTGCTTTCTGCCTCTTAAATCACATTTAAATCTCTTATAATGTATATGTATATTGTATATGCTAATAGCTACCTTTTTTGTTGTTGTTTTCTGTTTTTTGTTTTTTGAGACAGGGTCTCACTATGTAGTTGAGACTGACCTGGAACTCACTTTGTAGCCCAGGCTGGTCTCAAACTCACAGTGATCCTCCTGCCTCAGCCTCCCGAGTGCTGGGATTATAGGCATGCACCACCCTGCCTGGCATCTACCTATTAACCCTACTAGTCAATTAACCCCAGTAGGAAATGGAAACTCTAAAGTGTATGTGGTAGACCTGCCCTGCAAGGCTTCACACTCCTAAGTAAAAACATTTCCATAATCACAAATTCTTATATAACACATTCCCACACACCAGCCTGTCACAGTCCCTGTCTCATCTAGGAGATAATCACCCCCCATCGTCTCCCTACAGGAACCAACATCTGTCCACCTTACCATTAACCATGATCAGAGTATTGAGAAAAATTCTTTAATATCTCTAAAAAGCATTGTTTTCAGCTCCATGAGTTATCACTAATATTACATTGGTAAACAGACCATTTAAAAAAAGAACAACTGGGCGTGGTGGCGCACACCTGTAATCCCAGCCTCTGGAGGCTGAGGCAGGAGGATCACTGTGAGTTCGAGACCAGCCTAGACTACATAGTGAGTTCCAGGTCAGTCTTGACTACATAGTGAGACCTTGTCTCAAAAAAAAAAAGAACACTATCTGTTTCATCATCCTTCTCTTCATTGTCACCAAATTAGGAATGGATCACTGCTTCCAACATGCACTAAGCTGTCATGTTAATTTGGGTCATTTATTACTCATAACTTTATGATATGGGTGCTGTTATTAATCCTGTTTACATATGACATAACTGAGATTAAGGATGTGAAATCACTTCCTCCAGGATCCACATTCAGAGAGCACAGGAGCCAGACCCACACCCAAATCCTTCTGGCTCTGCAGTTGGATTGTAACCTCTCCACTCATCCACAAATCCCTGCACTGAGCCTGGCATCCAGCAGGCTCGCAGTAAATTTACATGACTCAGGATCTGCCTCCTCTTTTTCTTTCCAGAATTCACTTCCCTGCAGCTGGCTCCTACCACTGGCCAAATACGGGTCTTGGCTTTGTGGTGAGAAGAGAGGTGACCGTTGAGATTGAATTCTCTGCCTGGGACCAGTTCCTGAGCATGAATGACCTACAGGACACCTGGATGGTGGCAGGACCTCTCTTTGACATCACGGCTGAGCAGGGAGCTGTGGCTGCTGTGCATCTGCCTCACTTTGTGGCCCTCCAAGGTGAGTCACAAGGACAGGGAAGAGAGTACTGATAATGACTGGCTGGAAAGAGGGAGGATGGGGAGAGAGGTCATAGCTTCCTTAGCAGGACAGAGAGAGTTATGGATTTGGAAACTGCAAGTGTTCCTCATGCTGCTCTTCTCTGTACCTATAATTTTTGAAACACATGTCAGTCATTCATAAAATTGTTTTTTTTTTCCTGAGCTCACCTGAAATTTTTTTTCCTGAGCTCACCTGAAAATGAGCTTTCAATAATTCTATTAACTAGCACTTCTTAAATGCACATTTGGTAGATTATGTCTCTCAGGAATTCAGCAGGAAACAGGTGATATGCTCAGTTGAGATATTTGGAGAGATTACCTGAGAGGGCTATGTACAAACCAGGCTAAGTGAACTAACAATGAGGATTTAGTACTCTACCTTTCAGAAATGGGAATCCTTTACAGCCCCTGCAGGCACAGACTAGGCACAGATCACCAGATTCATTTCAGAGCTGCAGCCACAGATGTGGGGCTCCCTAACAGAATAGAGCACTCACAAATTATCCTGACATCTGTTACCTCCAAAGACTTGCCGCAGGTAAAGCTCAAGAACATGAGTTTACAATAAAAAAAAAATCCCACAAAGTGTATAAAATGCACCACACATGAGAGCCTATGGGAACCTCAGGCGCAGTTTTAGCCCCTGCTTCAGATAATTCACAGAGAGGTTGAATAACTTTCTAAGAGTTGCATAGCTGGCAAGGAATTTCAGTGAGTCAAGGTCAGCTAAGGGGTAGCCCTTAAGATCAGTTAAATGGCTCTCTAGTGCCTCACTCTTGTGTAATGTGGCTCCCATTGTCTCTCTTGCGCAGGAAAGGCAGTAGCTCACTAGAGCCTAGAACACACTGATTGGTCATTCAGCAGGAACCCAGGGTTAGGGTAGCATTCATAGGCCCAACAGCAGTGTCCAAAGAAGATAGTTCTCTTCTTAGAGGTAAGGAGAACAAAAGCAAAAAGAAAAGATTGAGCATCCAAGCTAGGACGAAAGGACAGCCAAGAAGATTTTCTGAGTCTTAGAGTACTTAGGATGCTCTGGGCCATGTTCTATTCAATGTCTATCTTCCCTCTTGGGCCTTGAGCGGTGCTCACGTATCCCAGGCACCAGCTACGTCCCCAAACACATGATGCTCTGGGCTGCAGATTCACCCACAGAAACCCACTACTCCTGATGGGTTGTTCTGAATATATCTAATGAGTCTAGATAAAGGCAGTTCCCAAGAGGAGGCCCTGGCCTTCCTGCCAATGATTATTGACCTGTTCATCACTAAAGATTCTTCCCCTTCAGACTGTGGTTTTCCTTGCTGCTTTCCTGCTCTCTCCAACCTATCAAAGCTTTACAGCGTTGGGCAACCAGAAGAGATTGATTCTCCCACAGTCTTTGGAAAGGTTTAAGAAGGAAAGTGAATGCCTTAGTTACTTTCCTTGTTGCTATGACAAAATACCCAACATCCACAACTTGAAGGAGGAGAGGTTTATTCTGGCTGGCATTTTGGAAGTTTCAGTTTTTTTATGATACTGAGCATGGTGGAAGGCTTTGAGTGGAGGAAAGCTGCTCTTATTGTGGTAGCCATAAAGCAGAGAGAGTCCAGGTGTAGAGGCTGGAAAGGGAGACATGTCTTCCCAAGTCACACTCACAGTGACCCGCCTCTTCTGACCAGACCCCACCTCCTAACAGCAAGTCCGCTATAATGCCCCATAATCCAGTCACCTTCCAAACACACGAGGCTTTGGGGGCCATTCTGGATCTAAACCATAATATTCTGCCCCCAGCCCACAAAAGACTCGTGCACTAACAGTTTCTGCACTGCTGAAAAGTCCAAGCCTAAAGTCTCCTCTGAGACATAAAGCAAATTCTTAGCTTTGAATCCTTTAAAAATGAAAAACAGATTAAAAGCAACTGCCATGCAATAGCACAGGGTAAACATTCCCATTCCAAAAAGGAGGAACAGAGAGAGATTATAATTCTATAGTGACTTAGATTTGAAAGCAAGACCAAAACCCAGCAGGGCAAACATTACATTGCATAAAGATATGGTGAACTTTAAACTCCAAATGGCTTGTAGAGTCCTGCCCTACTGTATCGTCTACCACAGCCCCCATGGTTCCTCTCATAGGCTGCCTTGCTCACTCAGGAGACGTTCCACATTCCTGCCATTTCCAAATCCCTGGGGTATCCACTGTACTAATGGCTTCACTTTCATAATTTCACTTTCTGCCCTCTCAGAGGAGCATTGACTACCCTCTCAGGTCTTCTTCTGAAATCTAAGTAGAAGCTTTCCTAGTCCCACAACTCTTGCGTTCTGCATTCCTATAAAATCAGTACCATGTGAAAAATGCCACAATCTGTTGCCAGCTCTAGTAGTAGCCAGGTCTCCTTGAATAGTGGCTGTTGGACATCTCAAATGCTGAGCACTGTGAACCAACTCCCAGGGACCCAATTCCCTAGGCAGTTTTTGAGCAGGATGCCCTGGGGCTCTCTTCTCAAAAAATTCTTTCATTTTTTCAGAGGAAAGTACAGAGCCTTGCTGTTTCCAGGATCCCTTTAGAGCATCCTTCTTTTTATCCTTAATCAAAGTACTTGGCTTCTTTTTTATCTTTTCAGCAACAACCACTCCTTGACCAAAACTTCACAGGCCCTGATTTCCTGTAGCTTCCTTTTGGATAATCCTCAAAACTTTTAAGATCAACCAGTTGTGTCATTTGCTCTGATTCTTAATGAAGAACTGGCTGACAGACCCCAGTAGTACCCATTCCATAGCCTCAACACTGGGTTGCCTTGAAATTACCTTTGCACCATTAATTTGTTTACAACCCTTAATCTCAGTCTTCTGCAAAGTCTAAGGACATAAGCAAAACATGAAAAAATTTTCTGACAGTGAAACATACTTAGCCTGGAGAACAGCTACCAGTGGATCCCTTGTTCCCAATTGAAGACTGTGGGGTCTGGAATTTCCCATCTGCTTTTTTAATTAGCATACTGATCATCTGAACTCTGATCAGAATCTCCCATCAAGCTTAACCACAGTATTCTAGCACTCTCTGCCATCTTCAAACCTTTCCAAACTCCTCCCAAGAACCAATTCTAAAGGCTTCTAAACCACATGGTTAGATAATCATAACAATAACCTCACCTCCTAATAAAACAAACTGTTTTATTAATTTTCTTCCCACTGGAACAAAATAAATGACACCTAGCACTGAGAGAAAGAGAGGTTTATGTAGACTCGTGTTTTAGAAACTTCCGTCCTTCCATGATTGGCAGAATGATGGAAGAGTTTGGGCAGAGGAATGCTGCTAATGTCATGGCAGGCACGAAACAAGAGAGTCAAGGAAGGAGCCAGGAAGAGAGATAAGGCTTGCCAGATCATATCCACAGCTACTTCCTTTTCCAACCAGACTCCGACTCCTAATAGCAGGTCAGTATAATGCCCCACAATCCAGTCACCTTTCCAACCTGAGAGGCTGTGGGGGACCATTTTGGGTCTAAAATACAACTGTAACCAAATCCTCTTAGATAGCCCAGGACCTTCCAAGTCTTAGGATCGATAGTCTTGCATCTTGGGCAAACTGGGGGATGTGGTCACCCTAGCAAGAAAGTAACTTAGAAAGGCACAGCACCTTTCAGAATTCACTCAAAGTCAGCATTACACAGAAAATCTGTAAGAGCCACACACCTTATTGGAGTGTTAGGATCTGACACTAGGGCTGTGGGTGGCTGCATGTCTGGAGAAAGCACTTCCCTCCCAGTGTTTCAGGTCCCACCACCTGGTCCAACGAGGACCTTCCAGTATTGTGGAGATCAACATGAGTCCACTTACCTGGTGTCACTGGTGACAGTGCCAAAAGGCACCACATCTTAGAGAAGCAATTTGGAAGGTGGGGGAAGCTCATATATTTTCACATTGTTTTCCCATTCTCTGGTACTTATTGGTCCCAGGGTGATAATCCTAGATAAACAGAAAAGTTCTCTGCAGAAGCGTGTGCATGGCAGTAGCATAATCATGGTGAAAAGTTGGAAGCAAACACCAGTAAAACAGAGGCAGATGGCGAATAATGCTGCAAGTGTGGTGCACCCACTACTAGAAATCACATGCTGCAGTTGTGGGAATAACCAGACAGAAGGTGGCCATGATTCAAATGAACATAAAAAGACAGAAGACAGAGCTGTCTGAACTAGGGTGGAAATGTGCAGATATGTTGCTGCACACAATTACAGAAAGAGAAAAGGGAATGGTATGTATAATAGTTGTGTATTTTGATTATTGACACTCATGGGTGAAATCTTCCTCGTTTTTTCAGATGGTATACAAAACTTTGATACAATTTTCCCCAAAAATGCAGTTTCTAGGTGAGAACACTTAAGTAACGGTCTTCATGGTCCCTGTTAAAATTAACAACATTCAGTGTTCAGATTGATGCCTAAGCCACTGAATAGCCTTCTCTGCCAGATGGGTCTCGCTGCCCAGAAATCACCTGCATCGCAGTGGTTTCCCACCAATACATGGAGCCTGGAGTCCTGGGCTCTTGGTCAGCATTCTTTCCACTACTAACAAGCATTCATTCCTTAAACCCACTTCAATGGCTTCAGTGTCCTCCACCTGGAGCACTAATCACAGACTGCTACAAAGAACCTAATTCTGGCTCACATAGACAGAAAAGGAAAGTACTGAGAGATTTTCGAGTAGTCAGAGAAATAACAAAAGGACATGCAACAAGTTGAGGAGGAAAAAGGCAGTGAACCAATAATGCTGAGACCAAGGACACAGCTGGGTCAAACCAGAAACAGAAAGCGAGATCTATGCTGCAGATGAAACCAATGTGAGACTCTCCTTCCAAGGAAAATATTAGATTCTGAAGTGCATTGGTATTGCCAAGATTATGTATGTCTCTTCATCTGAGTAGCTAACTTCTAAGATCAAGGCTAAGATTAGTAGCACCCACTTAGTCAAATCTTGATCCCACACATGTGTTATGGCTACCAGGAAGTACAACCTTCCTGAGAGGGAGGCTCAGCTTGCCTCCGCCAAGATCCCGCAACGGTATAGGAAGGGCTTTTCTCCAAAATGAAGAATTTGAATGCTGACAAACATTTGACCCATGTAAGCTTCCCTTCTGCATTCCACTGCTTGTTCTTCCTACTTTTTTCCCTAGAGGTTTATAGTACAAAATGCCTCCATCATTCAAAATACCTTCAGTGAGAGAATGCACAGCCGCACATGCAGCCATAGGTTCAGTATATTTCCCAACTCTAAGATCAGGGCTGGGTTTAGGTCTGAGTTGGACTCAAGGATTAGGATTCCCCCAGTGCCCTTACCATAGAGAGAGCAATGCTCACAGCTTCCGAAGGGTCCCCAACCAAGGACGTGTATGTCCATATTCCCCATGCTAAACGTCTTAACCCATTTGGCTTGCTGCAATAAAATGCTATACAATGAGTAGCCTATAAATAGCCAATTTATTTCTCACTATTCTGGTGAATGGAAAGTCCAAGATCAAAGTGACAGTACATTCAGTATCTGGCAAGTGCACACTTCCTCACATATGGCACCTTCTAGCTGTGCCCTCCCAAAGAAGAAGGACTTTTAGGTCTCTTTCATAAATGAATTAATCTCATTCGTAATCTTTCTACCTCCATGATTTATCACCTCCCAAAAAGCTCCACCACATAATACCATTACCCGGGGTGGGAAGATTTCAACATAGAGATTTTGGGAGGACTCAAGCATTCAGACCATCACACTGGGTTCCCACAGGGAGGTCTCTCAGCCTAAGCCCTGAGATCCTACTGCTCCTGACGCAGTGAAGCCACTGAATCCATACCTCTCAAACCTGCTGTCTGACAGGAGAACACGTGGACATCTCCCAGTTCCAAGTGGCCCACTTTAAAGAGGAGGGGATGCTCCTGGAGAAGCCAGCCAGAGTGGAGCCGCATTACACCGTCCTGGAAAACCCCAACTTCTCCCCCATGGGAGTTCTCCTGAGAATGATCCCTGCTGCCCGGCGCTTCATCCCCATCATGTCTACCACGCTGCTCTACCATCACCTCCATGCCGAGGAAGTCACCTTCCACCTCTACCTGATCCCCAGTGACTGCACCATTCGGAAGGTAGCCCTCAAAACCAGCAAATCTCACGGTACCCATGAAATGCAGCCATCAAACTACCTCAAAAGGTACTTAACTAGAAATGAGGCTAAGCCTCTTTCAGCAGAAACCTCAACATTGGTGAAAAGTCATGCCCTGTGATCACCCGCAACTGGCCCTGTGACAACCCCAGTCTCACTCATCTTCATTCACTGGGGCATCACTGGTCACTAGACAATAATTTTCAGCTTGTTTCAGAGGTTAAAAGGATGATAAGACTGCATGCTCCAAGCTGCAGTTTATCCCCATTGTTTTTTCTTCTCTTGCAGTGACCCTATTCCCACCCTCAACATAGCAGGGAAAAGTGTGGAGCTATTTGGGTAGCAGATCATGAGGGGAGAGAGGTATTGAGGTAAAGAAGCTCTCATTCACCCACACAGACATAAGGGCACACAGACACATCATCCAACCTTATTCAGACCTGATTCCAAAGGTCAAAATCTCCCATAATCACTCTTCTCTATTTCCCTGAGGCCATAGATGATGAAGAAAAGAAATTCCAGTTTGTACGAATACACAAGCCACCACCAATGGACCCCCTTTATGTGGGATCCCGCTACATTGTGTCGGGTTCAGGGATGCTGGAGATCATGCCCAAGGTAAACAGCAACATGTCTACCCCATGTCCAGGTCGGAAGGCATGCTCGGGAAAAATGTGGGGGCAGCCCTCAGCAGACTCCTAGAGACTGGGAGAACTGGGCAGCGGTATAAAGCAAATGGGATTAAGGGTGTGATCAGGAATGCTTCAAAGGTTTAAACAAAGTATTTTATGGAGAGTGAAGCTCATATTCACAATGAGGAGGACTTCAGGGATCAGACTGGAAGAGTGGGAAGTGTTTATCTATAGGGTGTCAATACAGGTATATTGCTATCAAATTGCACCAGCAACAACCTGTAGTCCAACATGTTGCATTTATGACACATATTATGGCAAATCCTACACAATGGGTAATCTTGGGTAGCCTATATAAAAGTGTTAGAAAGAACCCACTGTAGGGTTTGGGCCTTATTTGGGTAATTTCAGGGAAAATCTAAGGAAACATATTTGCTTTAGATTGGGTATTATCACAACACAGGGATAGCCAGGCATTGCAGCAAATATCTGAAATCCCAGCACTCAGGAGGTTGAGGAAGAAGGATCAAGAGGAGTTCAAGATCAGACTGAGCTCCAGAGTGAGTTCAAGGGTAGCCTGAACTACATGGCAAGACCCTATCTCAAAGAGACAGAGAGAAAGACAACAGAAGCAATTCTATGATTGTTTGGAAACTAAGAAAATCTAATCTCTAGGGAAAGCAGACTAAAACAAGCATAGAGCTGTAATTTCTAAGATTCAACAGTCATTTACTGAGAGTGTGGGGGTGGGGAGTACCTGACATTTCGAAACTGTCTGAAGTAGATGTTCTATGTATGTCCCATAAGGGACATGGCTTAGCTGCAAATTCAGATCAGTTTGTAGTGACGGTGATATCTAGCTGTGACCTCCAGATCAGTTTCTGGACGAAATCATATATTTTTTGTTCTTTTTCAGTATCTCCCACTTTTGATAGACTCAAACAGGTTTAGCCACTGGACATTAATCCACAATGTCTGTATGTTATCATTACCCATATTTACTGCTTTGGGTTGGAGAAGCACACACTGAATGGTAGTGTGTATTTGAACTGGGGTTAAACAAGTGTGAGATGAACACTGAGTCATCTGGCTTGGTGGCTTGTGCGGTATCATTTAAGACTCAGGACAGGATACTTCAGACAACAATAGCATGGCCAATTGCTGCAACTAAAAGGACTATTAGTCTTTGTTAAAGGTCTCAAAACAGAGGGTCAGACTAGGAAATGCAGAATTCAGCTGGGATTTTTTTTAAAAAAACTGCTACCTCTTCCTCTTTCTGGTCACAAATTGCCACATTTCCATCAACTAATAATTACAAGAAAAAATATTTCCTGTATTCCCCTATCACAAAAATTAGATTTTTAAATGCAAGGAAGTTGGAGAATGATAGATTCAACAGTCAGCCTCAGAACAGTAGTTACAGTCTAGGGAAACTGTCCAAGGGAGTTTTATTTTTCCTCAAGTAATAGAAGAAAGCCATAGGGGGTCAAAACCCAGAAAGTGAAGAAAAGAGACATCATATTTGTGCTTTAGAGAATATCAGAGCTGAAAGACAAAAAGTAATAGTAAATTAAGAATATGTTAAGGCTGATGAAGAATCAGAAAAGTGACTTGTTGTGATATCTCAGGCAGATGCTGCCTACCTCTAAAGTATTCCTCATGATCTTGACTCCAGATGGATCATGTGTAGACTAGTTAACAGGAAGTGAGGTTGATTTCTTCCATTGGGAAATATGGATTCGTGAATGAATAATTTGGTGTTTTTCTGCCACATCAATTGCTCAGAAGGTTGAGAGAGACAGAGAGGCATGATTGGCTTATTCAACAGTGAGAACCATGGCCTGTCATATAAAGTTACAAGATCCCAATGATGAATGTAACTGTACTGTATACCTAAAATGTACCAATAAACTCAATGAGAATATATACCCAATGCTGGGTATGTGCTTCATCAGAGGTAGCTCCATGGACCTCACAGACAAATCCCTCCCTGTGGGAATCTTACTTCCTGGAAGATGAGGTTTAGGTAAATATTGAAAGAATTAGTGAGCAATTATGCTGACACCAAGGGCTGTGAAGCAAATAGAACATCATGAAAGTGTCTTAGGTTTTTTTAGACTGCATCATCAAACAAGATATCTCTGACAAGATGCCACCTGAATTGAGCTCTCAGAGACAAGACTGCTTCTGGCATGTATGGATCTATATAGTACACTGTTGCAGACAGAAGGATGTGTGTAGAGTCACCAAGGTGAGCACAGACTTGACACCACCAAATGACAGAAAGGAGACCAGTGTGGCAGAGTCCAGTGCCTGCATCAAAAGATGCCATCAGAGCAGAATCAGTCTCCCGGGACCCACACTCTAGCTGGCCCTGATGTGCAGTTGGGAATTTTTCCGAGGCCCAATGGAAGCCATTGGAGGATCTTAAATGTACTGATTCAAGACCTGACTTATTTTCATAATGATGCTCCTAGCTGTGGAACCTGAATAAATGAGAAACAGTCAAGAATGGAAGCAGAGAAATGAATCAGAAGACCACAGATCAAAGTTTGTGGTGGCTTGACTGGGACAGTAGCAATGGCAAAGGAGCAAAACGGATGGATCCACAACAACTGAAAGAAGACAACTACCAAAACCAAAAGTAGTATTGCTAGTCTGCATAACATGTCTCAAAATCTGTTTTGAGGTAGAGACACCAGCATTTGGTCAATTGGCTGTGTATGGGGAGAGAATGTAGGACTTGACATGATGATAGCTAAATTTGGAATCTGAGGGCTCCAAAGGTAGTAGTGTTACTAAGATTGAAGATAATGGAGCGGATCATGTTCTGAGAGGAGCTTCTCTTGGATTTTATTTGGGAAAGGACATGACTATAAATTTTCTGTTAATTAGAAGTGGGTTAAGGTTAGAAACCACAAGCTTTAAGCTTAAAAAAAAAGAGGACTTAAAATGGATACATATTGAAGATATACTCCTAAGTGAAATAAATAAGTCACACATGTGTAAATACCGAATAGTTTCCCTGGTGTAAATAATCTGCAACAATGCATAAGATTCTAATAAGATTCCTGACATTTAGAAATGGGAAGAAAGGAGCTAAAGGTGTAGGGAAGGTGGGATGGGTAGGGGAAGAGTAAAAAGGGAAAAGAAAAAAATGTGAGAGAATGAAAAGATGAAAATAAAGTGTTTGTAGATGGGGAGGGGAGGAGGGGGTGAAGGGAGGGCAGAGGTAAGGGGAAAAAATGAGAATCAAGACTTGTCATGTAGAGGTACAAGATCCCAACAATGAATGTAACTGTACTGTATCCCTAAAATGTACCAATAAACTCAATTAAAGCTGAAAAAAAAAAGAGGGCTTGAATGCAAGGTAGGGAGTGGAATACAAAAAATACAGCTAAAGATGGAAAGAAAAGGAGTTGGTTTAGAATGTGTGAGCACTACTTTAAGTATGAGCCCTGGCACATCTATGGGTTATTAACTGCATCTGCACATTTTTTTACTTTGCATTTTTGATTTGAAATGGGTGACTGAAGAGGTTCATTGCCAAAATGAGGTTAGGCAGGGCCAAGAAGATGTTGGGGGTGGGTGGGGAGCAGTTGCATCAGGAAGGTCTCATGTGAGTATAAACGGCATCTTCTCAAGTGTCATTTTTTCTCTTCAGGAACTGGAGCTGTGCTATCGAAGCCCCAGACAACCCCAGCTCTTCTGTGAGATCTATGTTGGCTGTTTGGGGTCAGGGATCCAGCTGGAAATGAGATACAAGAAAGACGAGACCGTTGTATGGGAGGCCTTGTTGAAACCAGGTAAAGCTGGACAACTCCGAAAACCTCAAAACGTGAAGAATGAAAATGAATGTGTATGTCTGTGCCAGTGTAATGTCAAGAAATAGCCTAGACAATGTATGTGGCTTTTTCAAGTTGCATAACAGCTGCTATGATCAGAATTTAAACTCAAATTAGACTCTAGGACCCAGTTCCTCTCCCAGTTACCATGGTAGCATCTCAACACTACCCTTCAGTTAAGAAATTTTGATACACATAAGACCTCTGCCACAGTGTCTCATGATTGTTTGGGTGTGAAATAAAGGAGAAATCCTTAGGGGCTCAATAGTTAATGGATTGGGCCAGTTTTGCCAAGATCAGATACTCAAACTTGCATCAGTCATTATTTGCAAGGTAGATAAGAGTATAATAAATAATAAACTTTCAGGACTGGAAAAACTTTAGTCTTTCTGAGTCTAACACAGAAGCAGCGCAAGCCAAAATCCCCTAGTCAGTCCTTCTAGGGTCAACCAGCAGTGTCAGTTGTCAGACTGTAGCAATTTCAGCCACTGAGCTCCTACAAATGCACTTTACCATGTGGGGAAAGGACAACTGACCCTCCTCAACCTTGGCTTGGGAAAACTATACCAGGTTTAATAATTAGCCCAGCATCAGACCTCAGCTTAAATCTCACACCAGCACTAACTCACTGGCTGTTCTAGGAAAACTACTTTTCTTATTTAAGCCTGAGGTTCCTCATCTGAAAGACAAGAATTATAATGAGAGTTGCTGAAAAGATTGAAAAAATGATATCGAGAAATGCCTCGTGCAATGATTCTTAAGAAATAGTAGCAATGTTATTTTCTTTCCTCACCTTAAGGAATCTTGCAGGTCTTGTCCTTCTAAATTCCATTTCTTAAAGTCCACTAAAATCTGTCTCTTGCCCATGGGAAAGCCTGAGGATACTGGAACACTTGGATCATGGCTTTCTTGATGTCTCCCCTGCTCCAAATTAAATATCACCCATTTTTTTCCTTCCTTCTTGCATTTTTTTTTAACTCCTGGACACATAGTCACTTTCCTCAGTAGATATTTCAGTTTAAGCCTGAAGCACTATTGACTCCAAGTCTGTCCAGGAAAATGGTGGATGATGATCACCTGCTCACTTCATCCAAGTGTACCCAGTGCTGGCGGTGAGACCACATTACTACTGTTAGGTCACAGTGAACTTACAGTGTGCTCACACTCTCAGTCCTTGTTTGCATGAGCTGCTGTGAACCTTCCTCTCCTATGCAAATAATTGTCTAAGCCCCTTCGTTTCTTCTTCTTCTTATTATTATTGTTGTTGTTGTTGTTGTTGTTGTTGTTGTTGTTATTGCTGGCTTCACTGATCTTCTTGTTAAAATTTACTCGACATTCCCACATTTTAAGACTTGCTTGATTTTGATTCTGACACCCAAATCCAAAATACACATATTTAGTCTGTGTGCATAGGAGAAAAAAAACAAGGACAAGGAAGTCACTTCTGCTCAGAATGAGATGTGGAGTAGTTTCAGACATTTCACAGGACATTTGGTTCATTCTCAACTAGGATTCAGTCTCAACTAAGCGAGGGGGAAAAAAAGTGAGTCTCAGAAGTTGTGTGAGAAATTACTATGGCTTATTAGCATGCTTGCCCTCCCCTTATAAGTTTATGATCATAAGGCTCTGTGCCTCACTTTCCCCGTATACATAGGGAAATCATTTGTCTAGATAAATTCTAAGTGGCCTTCTAGTCCTAGCTCCAGAGTCTGTCGGAATTTGTAGCTCGCTCTCAGATCCGAGAAAATGAGAAGCGGGTGGGAGTTTCAGGGTGTGTCAGACAGGCTCATAACTAGCACTCTTTCTGAAGTGTCTTCATCTCTCTTCCTCCAGGAGACCTCAGACCTGCAGAATCTGCATTCCCTCCACCTGCCATAGGTCAGTAATAGTTGTCAGAGACCACAGGAGACAGTGGCATCCCTGGGGCATTCTGTCTGGTCCTGCAGGGAAGGGAATAGACAGGAGGGACTTTCCTTGCAAACCTCACCAGAGATTGGGCTGAAGGATTGCATGCCAGTGGCAGAGTTCCTCCCCACATCCATTACCCCTGTCAACGGGAGCCCTACCACATCATACCACATCATATATGTGTCAGGGCTGCGTCATGGACAGGCATGCTGCCATGAGTAAGGCACTCGTGCTTTTCGGTGACTAAATACCTTTCCAGAGGAAGCACAAAGTCAAAGACCCAGATGAGGTAAGCGAAAAGATAGAGATGTAGGGGCTCAGAGGTGGGGCTCATGGTGGAAGCCTTTCTTTGCTTGTTCCAGCCTCAGCTTCACCTCCAAATGCCCCAGGCTTGCTGCACTTCGTGGACCGGCATCGGGAGCAACTGGTGACCCGAGTGACTTCGGTGGACACTGTCTTAGACAAGCTGCTGAGTAGACAGGTGCTGAGTGAAGAACAGTATGCAAGTGTGCGGGCTGAGGCCACCAACCCAAGCCAGATGCGCAAGCTGTTCGGCTTCAGCCCATCCTGGGACTCAACCTGCAAAGACAAACTTTACCAAGCCCTGAGGGAGATCCATCCTCATCTGATCATGGATCTCTGGGAGGGGTCAAGCAGACAGTCAGAGGGACTCTGACAGCTCAGAAACTGAGGTTGACTATGTGCCTCTGAGTCTGGTTCTACATGACTTTTCTCTGGGTGTCTTTCTTCACCTACAAAAGCTGCCATCTGAATTTCCCACTATCTTTAAAGTTAGAAAAGATGCCCGTGTTGGACCCTACATGTCCATGCCCGGGGTTGCCTCACAGGCAGCCAAACTGCCTCCCCTGGCTTTCATAGGCCAGGTGTCAGGATGTGATAACAGCAATTCTGTGTGCAAGGACATTTGCTGAAAGCAATGAATGGGTTCTCAAGTGGCAATAATCTTTGAAAGTTGTTTAGGTCATCCCCCACCTCTGTTCCTCCCACACACTCACTCTGTTTTTGATATGTGGCCCATCCATCACTTTATCTATAGTCATTCTCTTCCTTTACTGCCAGTTTCAACCTGAGCTACTTTACTGCTAAATCAAGTCTCCCAGATATCAGCCTCCAGGCTCTTTCCTATGTGGCTATAGGTTTGCTACCACAGTCCTCAAGGACAGCCCTACCGTGACCCCCAGCCATGACCTCCAGAGTTATCATTCTGCTCAGCACGCTAGCTCTACGCTTACATCTAAGGAGTTCTGCAGCCGGGGGGAGGGGGGGTCCCACACCAGCCCAGACACCTGTGGTTCATCATGACACCTGGACAAACACCACCCACTGTGCCCTGCACTCAGTTCGAGCCTGTTGTGTGTTGGTGTCCTCCCTCATCCCACGCTAACTCTGAGGCTCAACTGGCTCCTCCTGAGGGCAATGTATCATCAACGGGCACCACTCTAGCCTGGGCCAAAACGGCCAACCTCTACAGGGTCCTGGGACCTGGCTCCTTCTAGGGAGAAAGCAGAGCCCACCACTGACGTGTAGAGCATGCAAAATAGAGAAAGGACACTGAGATTCCTATGACCCATGAGGACCAGTGATGGTCTATACTTCCTAGGCTCCCTGAGCCCACTGCTTTAGGTCACTCATCAAAGTGGCCTGGCAGGGAGAGGTTAACCCAAGGTCCCAAAACAGCCCTTCCTCAAAGGATGGCTGGAGGGGTACAGCCCCACCACAAATATGCTCTTCCTGGGGGAGCAACACTAATGGTGCAGGGAAGTGGCCTCAAATGCCAAAACCTTTCAGGAGACAAAATAGCGGCACCGAGTGACATGGATCCTTGCTTCCCTTATAATAGAAATTAAAACTGAGGCACGTATTTGCAAGTAAACAGGCTTTAGTTGTAAAGTAACAGAAAGGGTGTAGGAAAATTTGGGTTATAGGCAGGGAAAGGTAAGGGCCTTAGTGAGGTTTCTGACAAATCCTGACTGCAAAGAGTCAAACCCTTGCTAGAGCAATTCAGAAAAGCAAGGAGAACTGATACACAGAGCAGCAATTTGCTGCTCTTCTCTTCCAATTAAATTCAAAATTCATTGTGGGGAGAGGGGATTACAGTACAGAAAGCTCACTTGAAATATAAAACACATACTGAGACTTGGACACTCACACACCACTCTATTCTCTCTCCATATTCTCTCACCGTATTTATACACTAACATGTATATGTATCCTGGGCCTTGAATGTGAGGCTCTGCTCTAATTCTCACAGATATTACATCGACAAAAACAGAGACCAAAGGAAGGTTATCCAAAAATGTGCATTTAAGCAGTAGAAAGGGACAGTAGCTGAATCAGGGGGTCTCAGAGCCTTAAATAGCCAATCAGCTTATAGCAACTCTCCAGGGGGAGGATTCCTTTCTTTTCATATCATAAAAGAGGCTAAGACCAAAGAACCTGAGCACAGGCTCCGGGCTCCTTACCTTACTGCTATAAGGTAGCTATCTATCTTCTTATTTCTCTCCTCTTTCCAATAAAGTGATTTTGTTTCTCCTAAACTGATATCTCTAATGCCTTATTTACATAAGTTCATAAACCCTAGGTAAAATCTACCCTCACCAGAAGTGACAAAAGGAAGGAGGAGGAGGGAGGGGAAGGGGAAAAGGATGAATAAAGGAATTAAAATGTGTTATGTACATGTATAGACTTCCCACAAGGAGTGTAAATATTATGTACTATACACATGAGCTAATGAACTAAACTAAAATAAGAATGGCAAGGCACTTTAGCTTGGGGATCTGAGAAAGACCAAGCTGTCCCCTTAACCAAGGAGAGTAAGAGAAAATAAGAAAGAGTTCCAGCTTAAGCAACTTAAGCGGACACACTCTGATGAAGAGGTTCAGGGCTGGGGTTTTAGCTCAGTGGTTCTGCTGCCTGCTTCTCAAGCACAAGAACCCGAGTTCAATCCCAGGTACCAAAAAATAGGCTCAGACCGGCCCATTTAACAAAAGATAAAGGACCCATCTTACGGGGTGCTGTGGCGGGCTAACATCTGGTTAATCATTATCTCAGTCCTAGCTTCATAGCTCTGGAGCCATAAGGATATAAGGATAGCTTGAGGGACAATTTGGTTCCCTTGGGAAGATTATTCTTTCTAGGGAGGGTGATCTCATGTGTGATCTGTGCAACTCTACTTTTCTTGGAACCCACGTGATTACAGGTGTAAGAAAATGGCGGGGTGGTGAGCAGGGATTTAGCTCAGTGGTTCTGCTTCCTCACTCCTAAGTACAAGGTCGTGAGTTTGATCCTCAGGGCAAAGAAAAAAAAGAAAAAGATAATGGCAGGAGTCTCCTAGACATTGCTGTGAAGCAGAGTGGGAGAACCATGCCCGTCTACCCCTGCAAATCTTTAAACTAATTTGCATACTCTCATCTTGATGACCTCACTCCTAAAGAGGGATGAGGTAGACTAGAGGCCTCCACAGAGATACATACAGGTGAAATGGAGCTGTGGATGCTGCAGACTGCAGTGGCTCATGAGTTTTCGAGGTCCAACATCCCCCAGAATAGGGTGAGTGGCTGGTCGCCATTTTGCAAAGGTAACAGCTGAACTCAGAACTCAGAGTCCCTGTGAGTTGGCTCCACCTAGTGGTTCCTAGTGTGACTCACTAAGGGGGTTAGGTCTGAAGATAACCAGACCAAAATGAAAGATTGCTGGGATCCCTCAGGTAACTATATCAAAGGTACATGTGCTTCCCTCACTCTCTGATTCATTTGGGGACATGCTCCACTTTGGAAGCCTACCGTATTCATGGGTGCAGAAGGTGAGGTAGGACAGAGGCAATAAGACAGCTACGAAGGAGACAAAGAAACTGCAACAAAAAGTTAATACATTCAAGAGGCTCTAGCATAAGTTACCCAAGGTAATCCATATCAGCATTGCTTTGGTTAAATTGGTTAGGGTAAACTGAGGTTTGACCAAGACCATTGAGTCAGGCGAAGTTAAAGCAACAAGCAGAGTTTATTTCAACCTAAAGATCATTGGCCCTGAGGGCAGGACAAGAGGAGACTTTTATATGGTGGTTTGGGGAGGGAAGGGGAGATTGTCACGGGAGAGTGGAAATTTTTGAGACTTGAGGAGGGGGAAGTTGAGATTTGGAGAGGGGGAGGTCTGTTGGGTGCAGGATGTCTCTTGTGGTTGCTGAGCATCCGGGCCTGCAGACAAGGCTGGTTGTGGTAGGCATATGTTCCTCTGGAACCTGTGTTTTGACTTCCTATGTTGTACATTACTTGTAGGATTGAAGAGCTCGGGGCACTGTTGCTGGGAGAGGTTTTCTTCTGTTTTGCCTGGAAGTGAGGGCCTGAAAAAATTTAGGTGACTTCCCTTCTAGACCCAGCACACCGAAAATTCCTCAGTAATATTGAAAGTCCCAAAATTGGCTTAACTGAGAAAGAGCCAGGAACCTGATCCTAAGACAAAGGGACATGTTGAGAGAATCCAAATATTTAAATTACCTATGGGGGGGCTGGGCCCATACTTGAAGAAAGGGTTATCCTTTCAGGGGTGGTGACACCTTTCCCAGAGTTTGCACCTCTTCAAGAGAAGCATCAGTGTTCCCTGTTCCCAGAATGATACAATGCATATCATTTCCCTTGAGTGTGTACTAAAATGTCTAATAAACCCCTCCTGTGCCTCTCACTGACACGTCTCTGCCTTGGGAGTCAGGGAAACCGTAAGCCCATTCTTTGTTTAGGGTGGGTCAGGTTCCTTGTCTCAGCTTCAGTAACCTCTTCCAACTCTATCTTGGTTTCAGGGGACCCTGGAAAGATGGGATATCTACAAGCCCACATGCAATGTAGCTCTTAGAGGATAGAAGGGGCTCAAGGGTGCATTTTTTTTTTTTATAAGCCTCAGGACTGAATACGGCCCTGCAACAGAAAACATACCATTTACCAGTCTGACCTGTGGGAAAATTCGAAAAAAACACAGTCCACAAAGCACCAACATGTTTCAGGGTGGTAAGAACAGGGAGTAATTACATCTGACTTGGAAAGAAGTTTCTCCAATCCATGTGATTCAGCTAGGGGAAATTTTCTGAACATTTTCTTTTTTTACTTTCTTTTTCCTTGCTTTTATATAATATTTGCTTATTTTTAATGCTTTTATTCAATTTTTATCTTACTCTTTTCTTCTCCTCTTCATTTTTACTTTGCTTATTTTTTCTTTCCCATGCCCCTTTTCCTTTATAAAATTATTTTATTAATTTTTAACTTCATTAACTTTGACCTCTTTATTTTATATTACTTTAATGCTTTCATTTCTATTGTTAAGGGTGGTATACTTGTTGGTTTTAATTGGGTTTCATTGCATTTCTATATCTGATTTGATTGTGTGTTGGTGTTGTTACTGAAGTTTGTTTTCTCCTCTGTGAGCATTCCTGGAGATTGAGCTCTCATGAGAAGCTGCTCATTAAGAAGATCCTGGACTGGGGATTTAGCTCAGTGGTTCCGCTGCCTGCCTTGCAAGCACAAGGACCCGAGTTCGATCCCCGGTACCAAAAAAAAAAGAAAAAAAAAAGAAGATCCTCACCAAAAAATGCATGAATCTCATTATGGAAACACAAGCAATATAAAAAGAAAAGTCAACAAGACTCCTCAAAACATTCATAATTCTTCAGTAATTGAAGTGGTTGCAATGCTGGGCAGAAATTCAAAGGTTGAATTTACAAATGATCAAGGGCTTCAAAGAGGACACAAATAAACAGATGAATTAATTGAAGAAGACAGTACAGGATCTGAAAAGGAAATTAATAAAGAGAGAATATGAGAAAGAACTTCTTGGAAATTAAAGGCCAAGTAGGAAAATTTAAAATTCAGTTAAAAGACTTAAAGACTAGATTAAGTGGAGAAAGAACATCAGGGCTTGGAGACAAGGATAATGAATATCACATCAGACAATAACGAAATAATAAGAAATTCTGGGCCAGCCATGGTGGTATATGCCTGTAATGAGGCTCAAACAGGAGGATCACTACAAGTCCAAGGCCAGTCTGAACCACATAGTGAGTTCAAGGCCAGCCTGAACTGCATAGAGAGCCCCTGTCTCAAAAAAACCAAAAATAAAAAAGAATAAGAAATTCTGAACAGAATGTAAAAAAAAAAAAAAAACCCTATAGGACACAATTATGAGACTGAATTTATGAATATTGTGTTAAAAGACAGTGTCAGTAGGAATTTCTAGATTGGGCTAAGGTTTGAAAAAAAGACAGAATTCAAAGAGTGTGGTGTTTGAGGCCTGAGATCTAATGTAACAAACCAGTGAATAGGAGAGGCCAGAGGGGAAGGGAAAGGAGGTGGTGCCACCCAGAGCTCAGATCTGGGGTGTCTCAAGGACATTTGCTAAATGGAATCCTCTTGGCAAATCTATCATGTACCCTGCAATTCCTGAGCAGACTGAATCACACATCGAGTAAGCAAGATACAGGCTGAAGTCAATCAAGCCTGGACACTTGCAGCCCACAGTAAATCAAGACACGTACAGAAGCTTCAGAAATTATTTCACAAGAACTGGGCAATGTTACTCTTCGAGCTAGAGTCCCTCAAGTTCCTCTAATTTGAAAAAAGAAGAAAAACAGCTCTTCGTGGTGCCTCAATGTGAGCCTTTGTGGTGATGAGCCAGGGTCTGTTCTGCTTTAAGAGGCCATGTTCACTAGCAGATTGCCAGACCATCCACACAGACCCCGGATCTGGGACACATACATCAGCGGCCCTCATACTGTGGTGGGATGAGCAATAAGGCTCAGGAAATCTCACAAATCATCGAGGCTGGAAACTTACTCCCTGGCCTGATTCTAATATTACCTGCTAAGAAGACATAGGGGTCTCGCCCATTTTGACAGCCAGGGACTGGTTCCCTAGACCTTGCCTGGATGGTTTGCACCCTGGCTCTGCAGTTAGGCTTGGGGAGATGGAGGACGGAGTAGTGTGTGTGCCTGTGTGCTGTGTGTGTCTGCTCCTGCTGCTGCACAGACCTATCCTGGCCCTTCCTCTTCTCTAGCCACAACCCCTTTGAGTCTCTTCTGGGTGGCTGTCCTTCTTGCTGTGACCAGCTCAGACTGTTCTCCCTGCTTGCTTCACAGAGCCAGAAAATTTCTCAAGAGCCCTGCAAGTGGGCAGCCCTGAGCTCAGAACTCAGCTCTGAGCCCATCCCCTGTGTGCTGCAGCCCAAGGGTTGATCCCAGAAGTCCAGGTCCCAGAACATGGAAGAATCTGAGGAACACAGAACAGTGAGTGTCACTCACACCCCATCTCCTCATCCTCCCATCCCTCCATACCTCCCCATCCCTACACCTTCCCGTTCCCATTTCCCATGGGCCTCCTTCTAGCCCTGAGCTCTGCTCCCACCACCAACATAATCTGGCTCCTTCTAGCATGTACCAGTCCCCTCAGGGCTCCTCCATCCTCTGGCTTTTTCTATCATTTTTTCTCTCCCTTACTGCTCCCAATACTAACTACTGGCAGAGAATCTGGGATTTACAAAACTGGGTTCTGAATGCTGAGGGAGTTTACTGGGCCAAGAGAAATGATCCTACTGAGAGTTGCACTGGGAGAGAATAAGGGCCAAGGCAAATGGAGATCCCTGTACCCTGCCTGCATGATACCTTTCGCCTCCCACCTACTCACCCACCACCCCCATGGACATCCCCAAATCTCCCCTGCCTGGAAGAGGGGTGGCCAGCAAAGTCCAGCCGCAGCTGGCCTATTACTTGGAACTACTCTAGAAAGAGGAGCTGAAAGAATTCCATCTTCAGCTAGGCAACACAGCACCTCTTGGGAGCTCTTCTGAGATTGTACCAGCTATTTCAAAGAAAGCAAGCAGCAAAGCCTTAGTGGCTGAACATGGGGAGCTGCGGGCCTGCAATCTGGACCTCCACTCCTGGGAGCAGAAGGACTTCAGTCTGTTTGTGCAAGACAAGAAACCACCATTCTGGATGGAAGGTGAGCACACAAAGGCCCCATACATCCCCACAGGGACCCCACTGCCACAAATGAACCCTCCCACCAGGCCTTTCTCAGTGGTAACTTAGGACTGCTGATTCATGCACTAGACTAGGCTGGAGCTTTGCAGATTGCCGTGGGACCTTTGCTGGAACCCGAAGCCCACACCCTCTTCTATTCCCGTGCATTTCCAGGGTCCCACGTGGTCTTCACAGTGCCTGGGAGGAAGCTCATCCAAGGCTGGAGATGAGAGAGGGTGCTCTGATGGATGGGTGTGTGTTTCAAGCGCAGCTCCCAAGAGGAGCAGTGGCTCCACACCGTAGTTAATGAGCACAGATGTGGGAGCTGGGCAGAAGCAGATGCCAGTCCTCCCTCACCCTGAGCAAGTCACTTCACTGCTCTGTGCCTCTGTTTCTCCATCTGTGAAGTGGGAGAGTAAAATCCTAACTCCTTGAGCTGTGCAAAGGTTAAAAGTGGCTGCTCATGTTAAGCATTTAGCAGTCCAATAAATAGTAAATGCCCAATAAATATGAGCTTTTGCTATTGCTGCTACTGATATTATTACTATTCACAGCCCTGGTAGGAAGTGGTTTACAGCCTCATATGGGAGAGTTGAGGCTCAGAAAGTTCTGGTAATTTACTCAGAGAAATAGTGCAGAACCCAGATATTTATACAAATTTCCTGAATCCCAGATCAAGATATTTTGCCCAGTGGCATCTGTGAGAGCATCATTTTCCAAATGCACTTGTGGAGGAGACTGTGGAGTGAGTTCATGCCCTCCTGATCTCTCTCAGCCTAGACAGGGGATTTTCTTAATATGAAGAACCCCATCCTCAGGCCCCTAGCTCCTGACCCTTCCCCTCTGTCTCCTTTCTATAGGCCACGGCTTCTCATACCTCGGCTCTCCAAGTACACCCAACATGGCGTCCCCCAGCTGGCCAACCCCCACAGCAGTGCTGGGGTTATTGGCTCATGAGTCCTTGGAGAACCCTCTGGACTCAGGCAGAAGAATTTTGACAGGGCTGTCTGACATCTCTGAGCATCGCGTGAGAGGTGAGGCTTGCTGACTGGGGCCCAGATCCCTGGGTGGGGCTGTGAGTCAGCCAGTGGGTCCCCAAAGGAAAATACCTGCTTCAGCCCTGGCTTGGAGGAATGCAGAGGAAAGATGGAAAAGAAAAGACGGGATATGAGAGGCACAGGGCTAGAAGTGATTTTTCAGGGAACTTCCAATGCCAAAACTGCTTCCTTTCCCATTTCACATAAGGGACATTGAGTAACATGTGGGTCTGGCAGTAAGTGTTATCCAACTGGGTCCGTGTGTGATACGGTCCTTATCCAGGCAGAGCACACTTATAATTCCGGTGGATGATGAAGATCAGACTGGTCCAGGAGTTCCAAGAAGGACTCAGTTCTCCAAATGGATGCCAAGGAGAGACTGGGCTCATTCCTCAGCCCCAGCCACTTCTCTTTCCTGACTTTTCATCTCTGTCATCTCAGTCACCTGGGCTACAAACCTCAGCTGTGCCCTTGCCTCCTCCTCCTCTCATTGTGCTTCAAAGTGACCACCTCTTCCCAGCACGAAAGTATGAGGGAGAGCAGGTCATTTACAGGCAGAGCCAGGGCTAGAATCTAAAACACTCCCTGACTGGGGAAGTCATTTCCTCCTCCACCCTGCTGATACTTTGTGAAAGCATCACTCCTCCCTCCCTTCCTCTTTCACTTCCTTCTGAGCCTGCACTCACCCTTCTTGTCCCCACACCCTGGCAATGCTGGTTATAGGCTCAAATTCCACTGCTCTCAAGTTTCACCCTAACTTAACTTCACTTCTTGCTTTGTGATATGGAACTTGTATCTTCAACCCCTTTCTTTCCCTTTAATGTTTCTCTCCTGAGCCTCCATAAAACTTAGTTTCTACTTCGTAGGCCATGTCTCACTCCAAGGGCAGAATTTGCACCTCTTTCAATTTCACAGAGAAAAAAAAATCATTCACAGATGGGTGTGGAGGCACACCTAAAAACACAGGTACCTGAGAGGCTGAGGCAGGAGGATCACAAGTTCAAGGCCCCCCTGAGAAATTTAATGAGATCCTATCTCAGAATTTTAAAATAAAATACAATTTTAAAAGCTGAAGATGTAACTCAGTGATGAAACATTGGCCAATCATGTGTGAGTTCAGTCTGCAGTACCACACACAGAAAAAAAAATCCACTTGTACAAAAGTCTGAGTGAAGGCTCTGCTGAAGATATTGTTAGAAGGTTAAACTGCTGATGGGTTGGGAATTTAGCTCAGTGGTTCCACCGCCTGCCTCACACGTTCAAGGACCTGAGTTCAACCCCTGGTACCAAAAAAAAAAAAAAAAAAAAAAACTACTGACACCTCTCCACCAATGTTGCACTTACACCCTGACTAGAATTCTTCTCCCTCTTGCCCTTCTTTCTGCAAAAAACACTTCACCTTCTCTTCCCTTCTCTACTACATAGAGCAGTTCCTCTCTGCACTCAACCGTGTTGGCCTGAGTTTCAGTACTGTCTGGCAGTATGACCCATCCTTCTAAGAATGTCACATGAAACTATTTCTTATCACTTAAAGTAGGGACAACAACCACATATGCGATTTATCAAAATCTTTCTATCTAATGTACACTGTGCTCTCACAAAGAAGTTCAGACCATCTACTACAAAAACAAAGTTATACATCTATCTTTACATGACTTTAAAAATAAGATTATTAACATCTGTCTCACAGGATTTTGTGGCAGTTCAGATGTGTGTATCTGAAATAATGGGTCTTCTGTAATTAGTTGTTTCTTTCCTGTCATCTCCCCCAGAAAACCCTTCCTACCAAGCATTTCCAAGTTCTCCAGACCATGAGTCACCAAATCAGGAGTCACCCAATCCCCCCACAGCCACAGCAATGCTGGGGAGCTGGGAACCTCCACTTCACATTGACCCAGAGCCAAGCCATCAGAGAGCTTCTGGGACCTGGGGCATGATGGCTAAAACTGCAGGAAAGTATTGCACAGGTGAGGACTTGCTAAGTTCCTGGGGGAGGGTGGGGGATGCAAAGTCATGACAAAGAGTCAGTCCCCTGTGGGCCAGGTGGGCAGACTGAGTACAGAGAAAAACTTCACACATTTCTACAGAAATCCTGCCCTTAGAGTTTGGCCATAGGGCAAAGGCATTGCTTTCTTGAGGCTTCTGAAACTAAGATGCAGGTCCATTCTCCAGCACAGGAAATGCACCACTTGGTTTAGTGATCAGGGCATCATCAGTCTGAGGTCAGGAAAGCCAGATTCAAAGTCCACAGTGCCTCTCACCATCACCCTCCCTGAGGACCCAGCAGAAGTCACACATCTGCCAAGTGCTTTCAGGACATCCCACTCTGTCCAAGCACTGTACCCACTGCATCACTTGCACTCCTTTAGGAACAGACTGTTACCATGCCACCCAATGACAAAGTTGAGGGTCAAAAAAGGTAAAGTTCACAGTTAGTGTAAGAGCTGAGATTCAGCCCATACTCTCCCAACACAATTCATGACTTTAACCCCAACATCTGACTCCCTCTGCCATCTGGACAATAAGGACAGTCATACTGAAGCCATGGACACTCAGACTTCTGATGCCAAAGTCTTAACCCTAGATCAGGGTTAATGCTAGGAGATGCTGCCTTTGAAATCTGAGAGATGTTGAACTAAAAGTGTCCCCTTTTACCCCAGCTAGGAATAGACTTGTGGAATTCATAGTCCTAAAAGGTGGCTCAGACTCAAAATATGTCCACTGACATAATTAGTCACGCTACTTCTCATTCAAAAAGAAAAGAAAGAAGGATGGGAAGAAGAGGGAAAAGGAGGAAAAGAAGATAAATGAGAAGGATTACAGGCATCTAACAGAAATATATAAATGGAATAACAGTACTGGAAAGCAATAACCACTGTGCAGGGTAGCACAGGCTTATAATCTCAGCACCTAGGAGGCTGAGGCAGGAGGACCACCGGGAGTTTGATGTCAGCCTGGGTTACATAGTGAGTTCAAGGCCAGCCTGAACCACATAGCAAGACCCTGTCTCAAAAAACCAAAACACCTGCCTCACAAGCATAAAGACCCAAGTTTGATCCCTGGTACCAAAAAAACAAACAAACAAACAAAAACAAAACAAAACAAAAAAGAAAGAAGCAAATATAAAAACTATGAAGACAAATTAGTTGCTATAATTAAAGATTCCATTGGGCCAGGGATTTAGCTCAATGGTTCTGGCACCTGCCTCACAAGCACAAAGACCTGAGTTCAATCCCCAGTACTAAAAAAGATTCCTTTGATTCTGAACATCCTAGCAAGTAGGAAAAACAGGTGGTGGCCCAGCAGTGGCAAACTCCCACCAAACCTAGTAAACCACCTGTGAAAGATTTGCCAGCACTGTGTCAGGTGCATACCACTATAATTGGGATAGTGAATTTTTAATGTACAACTTAACCCATCTCTAGTTATGTTTCTTGTTGCTGAGACAAAATACCTGACATCCAAAATTAAAGGAAGAAAGGTTTATTTGACTCACCATTTGTAGAGGATTCATAGTTGGCTGGCACCAAGGCAGGGTAGCATGAGGGAGGGGCATCAAAGAACAGGTGGGCAGAAGGCAGCAAGCTACAAGTGACAATAGCAACTTTTTCTGTTCCTTTATATGTTCTGTCTAGGCTACATGTCCTCTGGGCGGGTAGCACTCACACCCAGAACTATGCCAAACCAATCAGTGGACCAATTTAGTAATCACAAACCCTGATCCCAGCATCAAACATTCTAGATCCAGCCACCTCTAAAAAAGCCCTACCTTTGACTACATGAGGCTTTAGGGAGCTATCTAGACACAAGCCGTAACAACTGACATATGCTATAGGTTGCAACTTTTTGAATTTTTGCAAACAATTCATTCATATTACCTAGAAAATTCAAGGTAGAAGAATTTGAAGAAAAAAAAATTTTATTATGTTCCATTGTTATGTGCCATTCCAAAAATGAAACATTAGCCATAAAAGGATTAATTCAAGATAGTAAGAAAAGCTTTTAAATCTGTCTTGATTCAAGAAGATATAGATATGTGTTTGGTCACAGATTCACGAAAAGTAGGAAATTTAGGAAAACCTAGCGTCATGCTTGGCACCTCAGGCAAACAGGGCCTGAACAGAGCGAGCCATGGCTGTGGCCCTGGATGGCCATCCTGCTCCTCTTAGGAGACATTCACTTTGCTACAGATGTTCTCCCAGGGGACAATGAACGCAGATCTGTAGATTACAATTTCAGAAGTGAAGGCATGCTCCGAAGCCACAGTCTCACCAGGGGAATGAGTGTAAATTGACCCCACACTCCATACTCCACACAGGTCCTCTTGAGCACACCTGCAAGAGTGGGAACCTTGCACCCTGTATGTAGCACCACAGGTGCCCTGGGATAAACTAGGCTTCAGCATCCTGTGAGTAAGCTGTGTCATCCCTAAAATTCACTCCTATGCTTGATAAAATACTTCCCCCAAATGCTAATGTGGTCAGAGGTGGGACTTTTGGAAAGTGCTTAGAGGCTTAGGGGACTTAGGACATACCTGAATGTCCTGGGGAAAAGGGAAAATAAAAAAAATATGAGAAAAGGAAAAAATGGAAATAAAGTCATTGTAAATAGGGAAGGGTGAAGGGGGTGAAGGGAGGGCATGGGTATAGGGAAAAAATAAAAACCAAGATATATCATGTAACGGGTACAAGATCCCAATGAAAAATGTAACTGTAGTGTTTGCCTTAAATGGACCAATAAACTTAATGGGGAAGAAAAAAAAAAGAGGCTATTTTGTCCTAGCAGTAGAAAGTCGACTAATGCATTCGCCTAAGCAGAAAATTAGAGGCATTCAAAATATTAGAAAAGGAAAGATGGAAATGGCTTGTAAAGATGTTCTGCCCACATGTTAATAAAACAGAAACCGGAGGTTCCCGCCCTGGGGAACAATCCAAGTAGTCACAATTCACAAAGTGCTACCGACCGTAGGGCAGCAAACACGGGATTTCACAAGGAGATACAGGTTCTCTGAAAGGTGGGAGCAGGTTCGGTGATGACAGTCAGACAAAAGCACTCAACACCGAAGTGAAGCTTGCAAATGCTGCTGCAATTTTATTTCTAACTCTAGGTGTTTATATACTAGTTTCAAGGGCACACCTCAAGAGTGATTTCAGGCACAGGCAGGCATGAGAAAGATAGACAATAGTACTGTAAAAACTAAGACCACAAGGTCAAGGTAAGACCACACCTATATACCATCACAAAAGCTAAGACCATTAAGTCAAGGTAAGACCACACCTATACGCAGTCAGAAGGGGAAGTTTGTAAAACAAAGGACTGGCTTCAGCATGTCACCTTCAGGATCACCTTCAGGACTTCACAGTCCGGGGCTCAGGGTCAGCACTTTGGCCGCCCGTCCTCTTGTGCCTCAATACCTCCCCATCTCTAGGAACATCTAATTGTTCCTAACCTTTCCTGGGCCCAGAATACAATTCTACAGATAATGAACAAATAGTAATAAAGACAAAATAGAACAGAATTATAGATGAACCCAATGTCCCCAAACTGCAGGCAGAGAGGCCAGCTATTCTCTTCACGGCTGACTTTGCATGCGGTGTGTGCCAAGGACCTCCAGGAGGCTTAACCCCGTGGGGACGATACCTCGGGTCTGGTTTCTGCCAGGTGACCGGCATTGTCACGCAGACTCTACTGGAGTGGTCGTGGCAACAAAGCATCTTCCTGTGGGTCACAAATTGAGCCTCCTCAGAAACAGGCCCTGAGGTGGGGCTGGTGTGGGGCAGTTTACTGGGAAGACTATTCGGGGATGTGCTGGTAAGAGAGAGCAGAAACATGAGACAGGAAAGGAAGCCCAGAAATGGTACATTACGGGACTGCTTACATAAGCAACTGTCTTAGTCTATTGTAAATTGTTGTCACAGAATAAGTGAGATTGGATCAGTTGACAAGAATTTTATCTAGCTGAGAATTCTTCAGCCGGAAGTCCAATATCAGAGAGACACATCTGCTCTGCTTCCAGTGAAGATTTTGTGATGCTTCTTGTATGGCAGAAGAAAAATCAGAAGAGGAAACAAAAGCCTGCAGCGAAAAGGAAAGGGGTCCTGATCTCCACCACAGCTAACCCATTCCCATAAGGAAAGCATAAATCCATTCATAGCTAGTGCTGCCCTGTGACCCACAGACCCCACCTCCAAACACTACCCCTGGAAATTTCATTTCAACATGAGTTTTCATGGGGACAAATGACAGCCAGAGCATAGCAGCTATTAAGGATGTTGGGAGACAGTGCAGGATACACCTTTGAGTTGCCTGTCCTGGTGCAGAGGACCCCTACCTATTGTCGGTGGGGAGCTCTCTCTACAATTTCTGGCACACTCCACTTTTGGGCCACAAGAGCCCTTGGACTGACACTCACAGGTGCTTCCAGAAGGACATATTTGTCAGGTCTACAATAGTGGGAGCTGAGGAGATGCTGTTGTATCTTCCATGCCTCCACGGCCTCCTACAAAGGGCAAACACAATCCTTGATGAACAGATGAGAAAACCAAGGCTCAATAGGGTTACTGGCCCTAGTTATAGGTTCATTGAGTATAGACAATTATATCTGTTTGCTCACTCTTTATTCAAAGCCCCAGGGGCAGGGTCTGGCATGTAGTAATTTCTTGATGAATGTTTGAAGAATGACTTGGTATATGATCGAGTATAACTTGATGACATCACGACTTGAGCTAAGGTTTTCTACTCCCCATATTCCACTGACTGCAGTGGCCAAAACATGCCATGTCTGTAGCCAGTGCAGTGTGTGACTTTCAGTGAGTACCTAAAGGCATTTAGTTGTTGAATGAATGAACAACTCTATTCTATACCTTAAGGTTCTATATTTTTATCCCTTACTTAGAAACCAGAAGATCCCGGGACCAGAAGACAGAGAACCCCTGCCCCACACAGTCCTGGAAGAATGAAGTTTTGCACCAAAATTTCATACAGCTGTTACTTTTACAAAAATGTCACCTCAGAGGCCAGGAGCCTCTGGTCAGGGAAAGCAGGCATCATGACACAGTAAAAGAGCAAGGGCATCTGATTGAGATCCAAGACTTATTTAGCCCAGGCCCAGGGACCCAGGCAGAACCTCACACAGTCATGCTGTACGGGGCTGCAGGAATTGGAAAGTCAACACTGGCCAGGCAGGTGAGAGGGGCCTGGGAAGAAGGCCAGCTGTACAGGGACCGCTTCCGGTATGTCTTCTACTTCAGCTGTGGAGAGCTGGCCAGGTGTAAGGTGATGAGTCTGGCTGGGCTCATGGCAAAAGGCTGGAGTGACTCTGCAGCTCCCATGGAGCAGATCCTGTCTCGGCCAGAGCAGTTGCTCTTCATCTTGGATGGTGTGGATGAGCCAAAATGGGTCTTAGAGGATCCAAATTCTGAACTCTGTCCACATTGGAGCCAGCCACTGGCAGTGCCTGCACTGCTGGGCAGTTTGCTAAGGAAAACCATACTTCCTGGGGCTTCCTTTCTGATCACAACTCGGACCACAGCTCTGCAGAAGCTCGTTCCTTCTTTGGCACAGCCACGTTGGGTGGAAGTCCTTGGCTTCTCTGAGAGTAGAAAGAAGGAATACTTTTACAACTATTTCACAGATGAAAGGCAAGCAATTAGAGCCTTCAGCTTGGTGGAATCCAACCCAGCACTCTCGACCCTGTGTCTTGTGCCCTGGGTGTGCTGGCTGGTCTGCACTTGCCTGAAGCAGCAGATGGAGCAGGGGAAAGAGCACCCGCTGACCTCTCAGACCGTGACAGCCCTCTGCCTGCACTACCTTTCCCAGGTTCTCTTGACTCAGAACCTGGGGCCACCACTCAGGAGCCTCTGTTCTCTGGCTGCTGAGGGCATCTGGCAAAGAAAGACCCTGTTCAGTGCAGATGATCTCAGGATGCACAGGTTAGAGGGGGACATAATCGTCACCTTCTTAAAGATGGATACTCTTCGAGAGCACCCCAGCAATCTGAGCTACAGTTTCACTCACCGGTGCTTCCAGGAGTTCTTTGCAGCAGTGTCCTGTGTCTTGGGGGATGAAGAGGAGAGAGGTGAGCATCCTGGCAACCTCAGAGTCACGGAAAAATTACTAAAAGTGTATGGAAGACATAACTTGTTTGGGGCACCAACCATGTACTTCCTATTTGGCCTTTTAAGTGATCAGGGGGCCAGGGTGTTGGAGAACATCTTCTCTTGCAAGCTGCCTGCAGAGCGGAAATGGGAGCTGCTGCAGTGGGTCCAAGAGGAAGCCCTAACACAGCAGCCATACTCTCAGGACTTGTTCCACTGTTTATATGAGATTCAGGATAAGGAGCTCCTCACACAGGCAATGGCCCATTTCCAAGGAACGGGGCTGTATGTCCAGACTGACATGGAGCTCCTGGTGTCCACTTTCTGTGTTAAATTCTGTAGCAATGTGAAGAGGCTTCAACTAAACGAGAGTGAGCTGCAGGAACTAGGATGGAGGCCCCCCAGGGTAGTTCTGTGAGTATCCCGACTCACCCCTCTGCTCCTGTCTTTCCTACAAACCCTCATGTCCTGAGCACAGAGACACTCATTCAGCCTGGTCCCCACAGTTAAAGGATGGAGATCACCAGTGTTTACTAAGTGCCCAACCTGACCGCCATTCTCTGCCCATGATCCTCTGCATGCCTGACTGTGTGACAGAACCCTGAGTCATCCTGTTGCCTCTCTTCCTACCTCTGCAACAACCACCCTCCTTTTCTGCTAGACATGCTCCCACCTTCACACTGACCTTCACATTGCCCACACCCTCTCCAAGAATCAGGCAGTCACTTGCCTCTGCTCTTCTCTCTTGACAGGCTTTCCATCTAAGAAACTGCTCACTCAGCTCCTTCAAGTACCACATCAAAGACATTGGCCCTGGGATCATCCCCCATCATCTCCAAATGCATGTGTCTTAGAGGGAGCTCACTATTTTCCCCTACTTGTTGTATCAGTGATACACAATAGCCCCAGCACACTATCTGAAACCCATCTCTGAGCATGAAACATAACTTTGTCTAACCACCCTTAACACTCAGAAACACTGTGAAGCTCTCCTTGCAGGTTCTGTGTTTGTGTTGAAATATTTTTTTTTGAGATAGAGTCTTGATATGTAACCTAGGCTGGCCTTGAACTCACTATGTAGCCCAGAATGGCCTCAAACTCACAGTGATCCTCTTTCCTCAGCCTCCCAAGTTCTGGAATTACAGGCGTGCACCACCACACCTGGCTCTCCTTGTTGGGATATTGACCATTCTCTCTCAGTGTAGGTCTATCGCCCCTTTCAGATGATTCCTTTCATAAATATTCACTAGGCAGTGACAGGACTGGAGAGGTGGCTTGATGGTGGGAGCACTTGCCTAGGGTGCAACAGGTCCTAGGTTTGATTCCCAGCATGCACAGAGAGAGAACTGAATTTATGCCAAGTCCTACAAATCACAAATTAAACAGTACAATCCTTGCCTTAAGGAGCTCACATACTGGAAGAGAAGGCAGATATACACACAGTAATTACAACAGAGTGATTCTGCAATAATAAAGGTAAGGGCAACATATCACTGTGGCTCAATGAAGAGAGTGATCATACAAGTAGACTAGAAAAGTCTAATTGAGTCTTCTATTTTCAAATTATCAGAGCTTTTTCTTATGATAAAATCCATGTTCATCGTGAAAAATAAGGATAAGTAGATGAGCAAAACAATTAAAGTAGGTTTTACAAAAGCAAAAAGATAAAATGTAATATCAACTACAATTCCACTACTCCATTGTAACCACCAATAAGAACTGAGGCACATCCATCTAGAGTTTTTTCTGAGAATAATTGAACCATCCTGTTTATTTTTTCTTATACTCAGCTTTATTTTCTTAATAATATTCTTTGGTTATTAAGAAGTCTAACACAACACAAACTTGAATAAGCACGTGATATTCCCTAAGGAGAGAACCATACCTGATTTGACCATTTCCCTATTGACCATTTTAGACTGTTTGTAGTTGTTTATGGCTACGAACATGATAGTTGGCCTTAGGGACCTGAATATAAGTGTCACAGGTGGCAGCAACCTAACACGAGACCCTCAGAAGTGTCCTGAGCAGGTACAGAGGCAGAAGCCAAATGGAGACAAGAGGAACAGAGACACCAGAGCAGCAAGGCACTTTGGAATGGATGGTAGCAAATTTGGCCTGAAAAGAATCCTGTGGGAAAGTCAGGGGCTTCTTCTGGAAATGGCAGGGAGGAGTCACTGGATCAGCCAGGCAAGGGAGGGAGGATGAGGAGGCTGTACTATAAAAGCAGGAAAGTCCAGGAAGAAATGGTGAAGATGGCCAAGGCTATGGAAGAGAAAGGAGGATGAATCGAGATGTGGCAGGCAATAAAGCTGGCAAGGTGAATGGCCTTCTAGGTATTTGTCTTACAGTTAAGCCTTGAACATATAGAATGGTAAATATTTAATTTTTTTCAGTCTATATAAATACTACATATGCCTCAAAAAGCCACTTTTGGCAGCTTATTTTGTATTTGTTTATTATTATGACATTGGGATGGTACATTGTTAACTTTTTTTTTTTTTATTTTTTTGGTTTTTTGAGACAGGGTCTCACTATGTAGTTGAGACTGACCTGGAACTCACTATGTAGCCCAGGCTGGTCTCGAACTCACAGCGATCCTCCTGCCTCATTCTCCTGAGTGCTGGGATTACAGGCATGCGCCACCACACTCGGCACCATTGTTAACTTTTTGTTTCAGTCAGGATTGGCCACCTTCAGTCTTTTTGATTTATGTGTGCATTTATACTTCTGAAGGCATTAAAATTGTAGTAAGGCTTTGGGAGACCCTGCAACACCTTGTAATCTTCACAAAACCTCTGCAGCAACCATTGTTGTCTCGATACTGCAGCTAAGAAGACTGAATGAGGCGAAGGAAAGTGGTCTCACATGTGGAGAGCTGGCTCCAGAGCGGTTGCTCCTTGCCTCTGATAGCTCTGCATACACACGGGGAAAATGAGTAAAAAGAGACATATATTGGAATGCACTAAGTAAAAGAGTCAGTGGGGTGTTGAAATAGAGATATCCTAGCAAGAAACCAGTCTGAAGTTTGGAAGAAAGTTTTAGTAGTTGGAGCCTGGAACCAGGAGAGAGCACTAGATAGCGTCTAAAAATGAAGAAATCAAATATATGAATGTCATATGGGGCTGAGTTTCACTCCAAGCTCATCATCTTTCCTATTCTAGCTGCAAACACTCTCACCTAGGATATTTCCCCTTCCTAGCTCTCTCCTATGGACCATCTATCTCTGTGGTCTTGCTGTTCCTGGAAGGAGAGATTCATGCAAATCTCATATACCAGTATATATGGTCATATCCAACATCTCATCAGAAAATAATCTTTAAACCAATCTTTCTGGGTTCTGTTCCCACTGCCCATATCTTCCTTTCTCCACTGAACTCTGAGACTCTAGAATTCTGTGTCAAAGGAAGACAGGTGTGTCTGCAGCAAAAGGAGAAAGTCTGTCAAATTACTGAGCACCTCCAATATGCCAGGCCCTATCCTGAGCACTGCAGATAGAAAAAGATGCTATTTGCTTATACCCTTGGGAAATTCCCAGACTAAGGCAGAAGCAGGCACAGAAAAAGAATATATCACTATGTTCTGCCAGGGGCTATAGAACAAAGAGGAATCTAGAGGAGGGATGCTGAGCCCAGGTGAGGGGCCAGTGGAAAAGTAGGTCAGTACTGGGGATGGCACTGTCCATGGTAGCACGGTGCTCAGGGGGACAGAACCCCACATTGTGATGTGAAGCAAGGCTGTGCATCTCAGACCCTGCACAGATAGCTTTCTCTCTCTCTCTCTCTCTCTCTCTCTCTCTCTCTCTCTCTCTCTCTCAGGTCTACGTGGGAACCACTAACAAATTATAGTTGGAAGGTTCTCTTCTCCATCCTCAAGGACACTGGCAGCCTGAAGGAGCTGGACCTAAGTGGAAATCCACTGAGTCTGTCTGCCATGCAGAGTCTTTGTGAGTCCCTGAGACACCCTCTCTGCTACCTGAAGTCCTTGTGGTGAGTTTGACTTGGGTTCTCCTCTGGAGCAGGCTGGGTGGAAGAACAGAGGTAGAAGTTGAGTCTAAAATGATGGATTGGTCTTAGCATTCATCAAATATTCGTGGATCCCATGTCTGACCATGCCTTGTGACAATTCAAGGGCTGCTATGGGAAACAGACTCGGGTGGGATTCTGTTAGGGAGAGACAGACATTGATCAAGGAATTATACTATCAAATGTGCAACAACAGGCCCAGACAATGGCCCCAGTGGAAAACATTTCCTTCAGAAAGTGGCTTGAGGGAAATCTAAAAAATAGAGAAGATTTGGCCAAGTGAATCAGAAGGGGAGGAAGTTTCAGACAGAGGGTATGACATTTCCCATTTTCTCCCCTTCCTTTCCTTCCTAAAAACCATTTTATTCTGTTTCTATTCTCTTTACATCTTTTTTGGCTCTCATATACAGGTAAGATCATGCAGTATTTTTCAGCATTTGGCTTATTTCACTTTAGGATTTCTCAAACTATATTTAATAGCTGAAATCAAGAATTCTGAGGCTCTTATTTTAAAGAGCATATAAAATGGGCATGTTATTTAGACAAAAGAGGATTTACAAGAAGGGACAAGTGGAGATCTCAAAGGGCCAGAAAAAGCAAGGGCAGTGGAGGAGAAGGAAGAGATGGAATCAAGACACCTGAGGAAGAGCCTTGTCCCCCTCTGGAATAGAGGGACAGAGAAGGACACAGTAGCTGGGGAAAAGAGAGGCACTGAAGGCTTCAAGTCCCACAGCAGCAGCATCCTTTCAGGCCCTGTCCTAAGTACATCATACACATTACTTCTATTGATCTTTGCAAACACCTTGAACAACAGGCTTGGTAAATCCATGTTATGGGAAACTAATGACACTTAGTAATGGGGAAACTTGCCCATATTCATCAAACAGTAAATGACAGAGGCAAGATCTGAACCCATGTCTGTCTGGCCTCAGAGCCCTTACCCATCCCACTCCACCACCCCAGTCAGATGTCTTTAGGCCAGATGTCCTAAGTGGGGCTGGGAGAGGCCGAGATTGCAGAAAGGCATCCACATCTTGTGATATCGAGTCCTTTGGGATGAATAAAACCTCAAAAGTAGCTTTATCTTCAAACTTTATTTTTATGCAAGATGAGTAAACTAAACATGTAATGTCCTTTCAAATATGCCCTGCCATCCAGAAGTATCCCTTGCTATCACTCACACCTTAATGACCCACTCTCGCACCCCCAGCTCTTTTAGTCAAGACTTAGAAGCACTGAGTGACACACTACCATCTTGGTGTGACAGTGAGGTCCTGAGTGTTCTTCTGGGAGCCAAGCAGATCCAGCTGTGGAAGGAGAAGTGGCAGAAGCTGGACTGAGGTCACAAGAGCAAAGGACCCCAGACACCATTGCCCTAGAGAGAGCTGTGTATATACGGCATGGAGTGCATGAGAAACACTTGTTTTGCATAAGTGATAACACGCCACAATTATCACGTCCCTTGCTTTATCATTTAAAATAGATCTTGTGGGGCTGGAGATTTAGCTCAGTGGTTCCGGTGCCTGCCTTGCAAGCACAAGGACCCGAGTTCAATCCCTGGTACCAAAAAACAAATAAATAAATAAAATAGATCTTGAGATGTCCCTGTATCGGTACTTACAAAGCTGCTACATACTTTTTAACAACAGTCCAGAACTCCACTGCATTTACTCTCCCACCACCACTTTTTGTTTATTCATTTGTTTTGCTTGTTTTTTGGTACTGGGTATCGAACTCAGGACCTTGCCTTTGCGAGGCAGACTCTGTGCCACTGAGCTAAACCCTCCCTTCCCCTTTTGTTTTTTGAAACAAAGTCTAGCTATGTAGTTCAGGCTTACCTTGACCTCACTATGTAGCCCAAACTGGCCTCAAACTCAAGGCAATTCTCCTGCCTCAGCCTGCCAAGCACTGGGATTAAAGGTGTATGCCACCACACCCAGCAACACCATGTTTTTTAGTGACTCCCTTTTTATGGGCATCTGATTTCTGTCCAGTCTGTGCCACTGTAAACAGAGCTGCAGTTAACATCTTCCCTCATGCATCCTGACACCCATCCTGTAGCCTAAATTCTGAGGGCTAGGTAAAGGTCATGTAAGGATACAGTGTTTACCAAGATTAAAAGGGCCCCAGTCAGCCTCGTCCCCAAGAACCCCAGTGTTAACTCTTTCCTAGTATGTCTCTGTAGCCACTCACCCTATAGACTGGGAAAGGCTGAAAGGGGGAAGAATTTCATCTGTAAACAGAGTAAGTCAGCGTGCCCCTCCATCCTTGCTCTTCTTCCCAGATGGGCTGTCCCATCCCCTCCCTTTGATTCTGGGTCTATGAACAATGCGGACTCAGGCTGCCCTGGACACCATGGCTCCCAGGCCATCCTCTAGCCCAGCAGCAGCACACCCATGGCCCAACACCTTAGTTCTATTGTGATGCAGCTATAGGACATGTGGAGTCACCCATCCAGATAAGACAAGGAGGTCTAAAGAGTTTTGCCATGGCTTAGCATACCATCAAGGGCTCCAGACATGTTTCTGGCTTGAAATAGCACATATTCCAGACTCCAGTATATACTGGGAAGCCCAAGGTAGGCTCTGGGACCCATTTGAACCTACTGCCCCTCAGATTTTGTTCTCGTACTGGAAGCTCACTGGTTTTTCTCCTGGACTGGAGATACTCTCACTATTGAACCCACCAGAGCATCCTATGTCTGCCGAGTCTGAGTATGTGGCAAAAGGAAACTGGTTAACAGTTAAACCCAGGTTACTCCACCAGGAATGATATGCTGCATGACCAGAACTTATGTGGATCCCACCAGGACTGAGACCTGCAACCTGGGGGTCTACTTGGCTACAAGAGGAAAGGTAAGGCTTCTCAGGTCACAGCAAGCCAAGAAACTCTTTGTCTTCTTATACTGTCATCCCTAGACCCCCCTCCACCCCAAGTAGCCACAGCTACTCAAAGAGATCAGGCCGCAGTTACCCAGGGGAGTGAGCCCTCGAGACAATGACTATAGGTCTGTGTGCATCTCTCCTGCAGGCTGGTTGGCTGTGGCCTCACATCCAACTGCTGCCAGGACCTGGCCTCTGTGCTCAGTGCCAGCTGCAGCCTGACAGAGTTGGACCTGCAGCAGAATGATCTGGGAATCTGTGGTGTGCGGTTGCTCTGTCAGGGGCTCAGGCATCCCACCTGCCAAGTCACACTCCTGTGGTAAGGCCGGGGGGTGTCCTCCACTGGGGAGGAGCAGAAGAGGGTGCCAGGGAATGGCTCCGGGAAAGGAAGTTGGACTGATAAATGCATCATCAGCCTGGGCTCCCTCTCCACTCTGCCACATACTCACACCCGGTGACTTCAACAAGTCTTCTGTGAGACTTGGCTACCTCACTGTGTTGGGGGTGCCACATCCACTTCATGCTTTCCAGATTTCTGGGTTCTGAGCACCCTGAGATCATAGGGAGATCACAGGAGGACCAGATTTCCCTTTTTCTTGCAGGCTGGACCATACTCTGAGTGAGGAGGTGACGGAGGAGCTAAAAGCCTTGAAAGAAGAGAAACCCCAGCTGCTTGTTTGCAGCATATGGTAAGGGTTGGCCCTGGCACTGTCTGGACAGCTCAGGCTGAGCACTGAACCACCATGGATGGTCTAGAGTAAAGTGATGGGAAGGGAGTCTTGGGCTGTGGGGAACAAAAAGAGCCAGGAAGAACCTAAGAACCACAGCTTGTGAGATGTTTGTTTTATTTTTGCTTTGTTTTATCTTTCAGTTGTTTAATGAGCGCAGAATCACATTATCTGCATGTTTAACCTTCCACTAGACAAATAAGGAAATAAGAAAGTGAGTGAGTGAATCCTGTGGGCCACACTGTGATAACCATTTGTCACTTGTACAGTTTCCTTAAATTAAGAGAAAGTTTGGGACAAGGCAAGCAGGGACCACAGAGTGGGGCACAAAGGCAAAGACACAAAGAGCCCTTTGGAGAAAAGACCACCATCACACTACCTACCCACACAGACACCTGTATACACACCAGGACTTAAAAGGGAACCCAGGGCAAGAGAGCCAATCTGTCTCCCACTGGGAATGGCTTGCAGCCCCATGTGCTTATATTTTGGCCCACACTGGTCCATGACCATGGAATCTATCTGTCCCCAAGTTCCTAGCTGTTACGCCTCACCTGAAATGAAAAGGAAAGGACTTCTAGGCTTAGAAGAAGTCATCCACTCATTAAACAAACTCCCCATGACCTACTATGTGTTAGGCACTATTTGAGGATCTTAAACATAACTGAGAATGAGACACAAGTGGTCCAACCTCCTGGAACTTAGTCCAACAGGGAGAGAGTCACAAGTTCTCCTACAGGTTTGTGTAATTGTACCTAGGGTTGCTGCATATGCACTGGTAGGCCTGTCTGACTTCATCCAGTGGATTAAACTGGGCTCTCAAAGATGGGAAGGGTGAGCTGGGGCAAGAAGGGGATGATTTCATGCAGAGATATGTGAGAGAATGAAAATCTCTATGTATAGGAAGCCACGTGTGATGATCCCTACTGAGGGCAGGGATGGAGGAAAGCTGGGTAATAGCACATCCTCATTCAAGCGTCAGAGACCACAGTCAGGTATACGAAGGGGCCAGCTTGGGTCCATGGTGTGGCTGCAGGGAGGGAAAGCTCTGGGAGGTCATCCCATCCATCCCCCTGTCCCAGAGATGAAACAAGGAGGTAAACCACCTAGAAAGGCCCTGTGCCCTGCAAGATCTTCAGTTCCTAGACCTCAGCTCTCCCAGACTTAGAGGGTAATCTGTTCCTCTGCAATACCCATGCCAAGTGTCAGAGTCTGACCAGGACCCAGTCTCCCATTCTGGGCAGCTGTGGCCTGAGAATCCCCTCCTTATCCCTGCCTGCCCACTGTACTTTCAGCTTTTCATTGCTGGATGAAATACCTGACACCCACAACTTTAAGAAAGAGATGTGTGTGTTTGGCTCATGGTTTCAGAAGTTTCAATTCATGACTGGCTGGGCCCAAGGAAGAAACATTATGGCATAATGGTGTGGCAGAGCAGAGCTGCTAAATAACAAAAGCCTGAAAGCAATCACAGGGGAAGAGCACCACTGAGAGATATAACTGAAAAGGCACCCGGGGTAATGACCCACATACAGCTGAGCTCCAACTTCTAACCACATATTCAGCTCATGAGTAGAATTTTGACATGACCAGATCATTGCTCCAGGAGTCTTTTAATCCAGTCAAGTTGACAACTGATCTTTACTTCTCATCATTTATCCATTAAACCAGGTTCCTTTCTCAATTTTTTTTGACCTGGGACAGGCTGAGAAAGGCAGTACTTCTGGCTAAGTGGGGAAGGGGAGATGGGCAGAGTGGGTCAGGGTAAGTGGGCTGCATATTCTAGATTACATCAGGTAACCCCAGGAGCAGTGACAGACACAGCTGGAAGACTCCCTTTCGTGACCAGTCATGGCAGCCTCAGGAAGGACCCTGCCATAGACCTGCTGTAGGAGGCTGGGGAGACCAAGCAGGGCAGCATAGGACTGACCACTGCCCTTCTGATTCCCAGAGGAAGGCTCCCCACAATTACTCCAGATGGAACCCTTCCTTTTGCCCTCTCCCTCACCTCTGGGACACCAGCACATGGAGCCTCTGGGGACGGAAGATGACTTCCTTGGACCAACAGGGCCCGTGCTTACTGAGATTATTGACAGAGAGAGAAACTTGTGCCGGTGAGTGAGGGGCTCCGACTGCTCCAGGCTGGGCTCCCCAACCCCAGTACCCACAGACAACACCATACCCGCTCTCCCCTTGTTCTTCCATTGTCAGGCTAGCAGAAACAAGACTGAGATACTAGGTATGTGCAAAATATTATAGAAATAGACGTTTTATACAAAAGTAGAGAGTAAAAGGAACTAAGCCCGTATTCTAGCTTCAGCTACAATGTGGATACATTCGTTTCAACTATTCTATTTCCTCTACTTTTTTTTATTATATTTTAAATCCAATATATCATGTGATTTCATCCTTAAATACTTTATTGTGTATCTCAAAAATAAAAAATAACTATTCTTCCATAACTACTATGCCATTATCATATCTAACAAGGTTGACATTGTTTCATACCATCTAACCTCAGTGTCTATTCAAATATATTTAATTATCAAAAATGGTCCTCACTAACAAAACAAGGATCACTTGTTATATTTTGCTTATGTCTCTTAAACCTCATTTAAATATCTTTTAATGTATAGACCTCTTTTATTAATAGCCATATCTGCTAAGTACCCACCATTAGCTGAGGACCTCTGTTCAAACGAATATTGTACACCTGCCCATCAGAGTGTTATACTCTCATAAGAAACACATGTTTATAACTATAATCATGATTGTTTCTTTTGTGTGCAGTGCTGGAGATTGAACGCAGGGCATTCAAACCGAGTTACAACCCTACCCCATTTTTTATTTTTTATTTTTCATTTTGAGACAGGATCTCTGTAAGTCACTAAGTTGCCCAGGCTGATCACCAACTTGTGATATTCATGAGTAGGCTGCCCAGAGTGCTGAGATTACAAGCCTGTGCCACCACACCCAGGGATAATCTCTTAGGGAATACTGCCATTCGACAAACACTGTCACGGCCCCTGTTTCAGCTGGGCAATAGTGTCACTCCCCACATCCACTTACAGAAATTGGTGTTTGCCCATCTACCATTTACCATATGCAAAGCCTTGAAAAGTCATTTGTATTTCCAGAAAGCATTCTTTTTCAGATACAAGGGTTATTACTAGTATTACTATGTACATTGCTATTAACTATCAGTATTAGGGCCCTTTAAAATAAAAGCTCTTGTCTCTTTCATCATCATCGTCATCATCATCACCATCATCATCAGAAGATCTATCTACTTCCAGGCATGTGTTAAGCTGTCACCTTGCATTAGGTCACTCATTTCTCACACTCACCCTAGGAGATGGGGGCAATTATTACTCCTATTTACAGATTAGGAAACTAAGACTAGGGAGGTTAAAAGACTTTATCCAGGGCTCACAGTCACATAGCAGAGGAGCCAACCGAAATTCTTCTTACTTTGAAGTCATTTTGTAGCCTCTTCACTTATCCACAAGCCCTTGCCCTGGGTCTGGCTTCCAGCAGGTGCTCAGTAAGTTTTCATAGTTCAATGTCTGCCTCTTCTTTTCCCTGCCAGAGTTCACTTCCCTATGGCTGGCTCCTACCACTGGCCTAGCACAGGTCTTGGCCTCTCAGTGAGAAAGGCGGTGACCATCGAGATTGAATTCTGTGCCTGGGACCAGTTCCTAGGCATCAATGACCTGCAGCACACCTGGATGGTGGCAGGACCTCTCTTTGACATCAAGGCTGAGCATGGAGCTGTGGCTGATGTGCACCTCCCTCACTTTGTGTCCCTCCAAGGTAAATGAGGAGGATAAGGTAATAACGGGCTGAAAGGGGTATAGGATGAAGGATGGAGAGGGAACAAGATGAGAGGGATATGGAGGTGGAGACTAAGATTGTTTATATTTATGTTTATATTTATAATATTTCTGGATTTCCATGAAAGTCTCCCCAAATGGAAAAAAAACATCCTCCATAATATCAACATGCATTCATTAAGTACTTTTTACATAGACTGTATCACTCACCATCCCAGCAAGAAGTACCTGATACTCTCAGCTGAGACTTTTGAAGACAGTTTCAAAGACGAGACTACGTACAATGTAAGGCTACAGGAACTAACAAGGATTATTTGGTGCCCCAGATCAGAGCATAGACACATGCTACCAGATTTCATTTGACAGCTGGAGCCATGGAAAGGAGCTTCCTAAGAGAAGACACTAGGCACCAAGAATCCAAACCTCTGTTACTTCCAAAGACTTCCCACAGATAAAGCTATAAAAAGTACAAGCTCACTGTCAAAAAGTCAGCAAGGTACCATGAGAGCCAGCAGAAACATCAGGTAACAGATAAGCCCTTTAAATACTTCAGAGGATTCATCAGAAATGGAACATAAAATAAGTTTGTATAATATCCTCAAATAAACAAGTGTAAAAACCTGAGCAAGCAACAAGGAATCATTAAAAATAATCAATTTTAGAACATGAAATTGACAAAAATGTCTTAAAATATCAAAAAATGTGGAAGATATTGTGAGAAGACTTCATCTACATTTAAGTGCAATTTCAGAACAATATGACAGAGAAAAATGGAGATGATACAATAATCAAAGCGATAATTGCCAAGAAATTTCTAAAATCATGGAGAGATATGAGACTTCTCAGAAAGGGAAATCCTAAAAGTCCAAAGCAAGAGAGAGACAAAGAAATGAGAGAAATCAACGCTAAATATAGCATTAATATAGTGTGATATAGTGTTAGTTATAATATAGTGAAACTAAAATATAACAAAACTGAAGGGAGGGGCTTTACAGCAGCCAGAAAGGAAGATTATCTAGCAAAGTATAGCTGGAGACAAACTTTTGAGCAGCAACAGAGGAAAGCAGAAGACAGTGGAACGACATCTTCAATGTCTTGAGAAGGTAAATGTCCCTCAGGAATTGAAACAAGGACAATGCTTTTAAGTGGCTGGTGAAATAAACATTTTAGACCAAACTAAAATGAGACAGCTTGCCACAAATGCTTACTGATGGAAATTCTACGGGATATACTTTGGGAAAATGGAAATGGCCTCATAAAAAAGATCCAAAGTACAAGATGGAATGATAAGCAAAGATACTAATATATATGTGGATAAATCTAACAAAACATTGGCCTATTGAAAAAACAATAATGATAGCTCTACTTGGGGATTTAAAGGTTATAGAAGGAAATAAATACCAACAGTAATAGCAAACAAGAGTGGGAAAAGATTCTAAAGCATTTGTAGACTTCCGAAGGAAGGTAAAGGCAGGGCAGACGTCCCATCAGGTACAGCAGTTATGCAGTCTATATCAAAGTGCTGCAATACATCTTCAATACTTAGTAAACAGAAATTCTCCACTGCTGAGATCACAAACTACTAAACATTCTTTAGTGTTGGAAACAGACATGAGGAATGGGATTTGGGTGGATGAGGTATCCATGGGGTTTATGAGGTGCGTTGCTCTGGACCAGTCCATGGAAGGCAAGAGGGCCCCAGCATTCCAGGCATCAGGACAGGCCATCTGCAGGCCTGTTGATGGCAGGGGCTATGGCACAGGCCCTCCACAGCAGGCCATGGGGTAGAGCTGGCATCAGATAAAAACCAGCCACTGACAAGTTCCAGGGAAATAGTGTCTATCGATTCAATGAGAAAGAAGAATCAGATAAGTTTACTCACATCAAATCACAACACAGGCAGTAGCTTCATTTTATTTATGATAGAATGATGTGATAAAAATTTTTCAGCTTTTATTAGTTGTAAGCACTATCGTGACATGTATAGTTTAGTTGGTAATGAAAGGCATATACTGTTCATCTTTTATGATTATACTGATTAATATATTAATTCATATTACCATTTAATAGTTCCACATATTTAGCATTAAGTCAAGGTAAAAGTATTAACTTTAGGCTTATACTTTAAACTATTATCAAATCAAAAATTATCAATAAAAGCACAAACTTAAAAATCATAATTTATAAACTAATAGAAAGAAAAAATCAGTAAGAAATATAAAAGGCAAAGAAATGCCCATTACCTATGAATAGGAAAGTCTCATTTGTTAAGAACACAAAGCATCAGTAAACAACTGCAACTGCTCCCCAGAAAGAAAGTGTGGGAGTTGGGGATGTAGCTCACTCCACCTGCCTGGCAAGCACAAGGTACAGAGTTCGATTCCCTATACTGGGGGAAAGAAAAAAAAGTGTGGGGTGGAGAAATAAAGGCCAGAGACTCAGACACTAGGGAATCTTGACAGCTGTTCCCAAGGGAAGATTTCAGAATAAAGCAGGCAGGAAAAGGTGCGAAGGTTATAGAGGCCCAGTCACAAAGGGAGAGAGCAAGAAAGGCTCAAATATTATCTGGGACAAGCTATTTTCTTCCCCACCTGAAAATCTACAGAGCAATAACTTGAGCCCAGTGGATCTCTGGATGATCATCAGGAAAAGGAGGTCTTGGCCATTGGGTTCGGTCCTGCTACTGCTTTGCCCATCAATGGAGAACTTTTCCTGCCCTCACTCTGCACCAGGGAAATCTAGGCTGGTAGTTGTCCCATGTAGTGAGGCCTGGAGCCAGAAGACACCAGCAGGGTTTGTCAGGACCAGAGTCTGCTCTTAGTCCCCGCTCCCACCCACCTTCTCACACCTGACCTTCAGAGGTCAGCACGCTGATCCCTCCCCACTGTAAAGAGATCCCAAGCATGCTCTGCTTAGACTTGCACATCATCAAGTGGGCCTGGGAAATGGGATTTGACCAAGGAATTGGTGATTCTGTAAATGCAAAGGAATCTAGCTGAGGCCTGCCAGGCTGAAAGCTAGAACTGGACATAAATGAATTCAGTAAGTTTCTGGGACTGCCCTCTGAGGACATAGGACTCCTGGGACATAGCTAAGCAAATGAATTGTAAAAAGAATTACTAAGCACTGTGTACCAGGCACCGAGCAAGGCAGAAATAAATACAGTATTGCCTAGGTAGTGAGGTCATTGCCTTTAGGACAAGCAAAAGCTGCAGCCCAGATGACAGCCTGCAGGAATTCCTAAAAGTTATGTTATGTTCACTCCTCCCCCAGTCCTGCCTCACCACAGGAGTTCAGATTGCCTAGACAGCTGGAAACCACAGTGATATCACACATACCCTCAAGCTGGTGATTCTCTGGAACCAATTCCACCACCACATAAGAATAGAAGGCCTTGAAACTCCTTCAGCAAAATGCATCATCAGAAGATCCAAATACCTTTCCCAGATTCTAAGACTTACCAGGAAGACTGAGCCAAGTTGTTTGAGGAAGAAACAACATAAACCACAAAAGTCAAATGATGAGGGACATGTTCAACCTGCACTTTCCCGTGATAATAGCAAGAGGCCCTTAATACCCCAAGTGCTTTACTGACACAAATTCAATCTTCACAACACTATGATGCAAACATTCAGTCTCTCTAGTGCGCTCTGTCCACTCTATCAGAGAAATACACTATTATGGCTAGGTGTGGTGGAGCGTCCTGTAATCTCAGCTACTCAGGAGGCTAAGACAGAAGTGTTACCCATTGGCTGCGGATTTCTTAGCTCAATACAGATAACAATCACATACTGACAAAGTACAGCCCCTTTGACATTAGTAGCTGCAAGCTTCGCATTGCAGAGCCCCTCAGTTCTCAGTTTTGTAGCTCATAGTGTAACCCTGTACCCTGAGTGTTAGCAGGTCCTAATGGCTCTCAGCTACCCCTATCAGCTCCTCAGCAGTCAGAGCTCATAGCTCCCCTGGAAGCTTTCTGAAACTCTTCTAGCAGGTTCTAGCTCCTCTCTGGAGTTCGTCTGCTCTTCCATGGAGCTCTTCACAAGGTAGCTTCGGGTCTGTCATTACTCTTGCTGTTTGCTCTCTGTTGCTCTCGAGTTCTTCAACAGCCCTCTGGCTGCTAAGCACATTGAGGGTAAAAAGCTATTAGTGTTACCAGTTTTTACTTTAGTGCAACCATCTCAGCCCACTGTGCCCAAGTCAAATCATATAGGCAATAAGACAATCAAAACCAGACTACTGGGACCTACGCTACAGGACTGGGGCACTGCACATGAGACACCCCTTTTGGACTGATCTCAGTGCTTATGTAGACAAGGGGAAGGCAAACAGGCAGACTCCTGCATCTTGGTGATTATTTGAAAACTGCAAGAGTGGTGACAGAGAGTGATATTATCTGAAGTGTCAGAGTCCTTGTCATCTGAAGTGATGCTGAGTCTTCAGCAGCTGCCATAGCTGAAGGGAAGTTTACTGGGCATCTGATACAGCCATGGCCAGAGCAGAGATCCCTAAAGCAGTCCAGAGGTGGCAAGAACAGCACCAGCAGCCATGACCACAGCCCAGAGCAACTGTGAAAAAAGTTGCTGTTTGATTGCCAGCTCCCACCTATTCCAGAGGGCTAACTTCATTACTGACAAAGCTTTCAAAGAGTTTCTAAGAACTATGGCAGTGTTGATTGTACCAGCAGAGTTTGGGGACTTTGGAGATAGTGGCACTAGTCTTCTATTTAATCTTAGTACCTGTGCTATAAGACATGAACCTCTGACCACTACTCAGGGTAGCTGCAGGAACACACTAGCAGCCAAGTGTGGGGCAATGGCATTGAGGCTGTCATTGATCCTAAGGTTCTATCCAGGTTGCAGAAGGAACTGTGAACCTAGAGGGTGGATTCTGAGGCAGTCACAGAGATGGTGGGAAAACACTAGAGCCAGTCTTTACTCTCCTTGGTTACCATTGGATCAGCCTAATAGCAATGGGAAGGGG